GTTTTAGTAAAATGGCACACTTTATTCCATGCCACAAAGTGGATGATGCAAGCAATGTGGCTAAATTATTCTTTCAAGAAATAGTGAGACTTCATGGGTTACCTAAGACTATAGTCTCGGATAGAGATGTTAAGTTCCTTAGCCATTTTTCGAAAAACTTTATGGGCTAAGCTAGGAACTAAACTTCTATTTTCTACCACATGTCACCCCCAAATTGATGGGCAAACTGAGGTAGTTAATAGGTCTCTTGGGACTATGTTGAGGGCAATCCTTAAGGGCAACAAAAAGTCATGGGATGACTATCTCCCTCATGTGGAGTTTGCCTATAATAGGGTGGTCCATAAAACCACCAACATGTATCCTTTTGAGATTGTTTATGTTTTCAATCCTCTAACTCCTTTGGATTTATTACCCCTTCCTGATGTTGCTTCCTTTATCCATAAAAAAGGTACATCTACAGCTGAATTTGTCAAAAACTTGCATGAGAAGGTTAGGAATCATATTCAATCCCAAACAGAAAAATATGCAAAATATAATAACAAAGGTAGAAAGGAAGTTGTCTTCAAGGAAGGAGACTAGGTTTGTGATGGAAATCTAATCCCCAAGGATCCATTTGGAAGAGGTAAGACCAAGAAAGGTGAAGGTTGATCCAAGGAGGCTCACCCATGAAGACATCAATGTCAACAATGACCTTCTTGGTCTCCACACTTATGGCAGGAAGCAAAAGACAGCACTCTGCCCCATCCCTCAATAATGATTCAACTTGAACAACTGAAATCAACAGCTCCTCCTCCACCTGAGGAAAGATCAGCCTCCTATTGGCACAATCTATAAGGATGCGAGTGGCAGACAACCAATCCATCCATAAGATTATGTCAATGTCCACCAAGACAAACAAATCAAGTTCACCTTATACCTCTTCTCATTCACCACAATAGGATAGCCAACACACAACTCAGAAGCAACTACCGAAGCAGAAGCGGGCATCGACACTAGCAGTCTCAACCCCAAATCACACACCAACACACCCAGCATAGCAGCACATGCATAAGAAATAAATGAATGGGAAGCTCCAGAGTCAAATAAGATCATCACATCCTTACCAGCAACTTTACCCTTCCCCTTCACAAGATCTGAGGAAGTTGAAGCTTCAGCCCCAGTCAAAGCGAATACTTTGCCAGTAGTAGTAGGTCTATCACCCCTCTGAGCATCGCCTCTCTGAGCATCACCCCTCTGAGCACCCCTCTCTGGTCTGTCTCTAGCGGGACAGTTGGCTGACTCATGACCCATTTGATGGCACCTGAAACACCGGCTCTCCGTGTGTGGACAATCCCTAACAAAATGGGGTCCAGCACACCTGAAACATCTAAGAGTGGCACCTCCACCCTGTCTCCCTCCTCTGGCAGCATCAGCAGGTTGCCTAATGACAGGACTCCCTTGTTGTGGTTGGGGCCTATCAGGGCTTCCTCTGATTTCCTCATCTCTTGGACCCAGCTAGTCCCTCAGCAATTTTCATCACACGGTTGCCACCTTCTAACCGCTCAACCACCTTAGCCTTCTCCACCAAGGCCGGAAACTCAGTGATGGCCATAGGCACCACCACCCTCTTCAACTCTTGTTTCAACCCCTCTGCAAATTTTCTGCATTTCCAAGCCTCAGAAATAGCTTGCGAGTAGAAACGAGCCAGGTGCTCGAATCTCATCTCATACTCAGATACAGATAGCCCACCCTGGTGTAACCGCATGAACTCAGCCTCCTTAGCGTGCCTCACGCTTTCTGGGAAGTACTTCTCCAGAAACACCCTCCTGAAGTACTCCCAATCAACAACAACACCCTAGCAGTCAGCATATGGTGAGTACCCCTCCACCAATGCTCAGCCTCTCCTACCAGCATGTAGACAGCATATGCCAGCCTCCTCTCCTGAGAACATCCCAACACGGTGAAGATCTTCTCCAGCTCACAGATCCAGTGGTCAGCTACCTCTGGATCTGCATCTCCCTTGAACTGTGGAGGATGGCATTTCTGAAACTCAGCTAGATCCCGGCTCTCCTGTGACTCCACAGGCCCTGCTACACCAGCTGCAGCTTTATCAACGTCCATCCTAGCAAAATAAGTATTTTGTTGCTGCATAGCCATAGTCATCATCTCCATGGCACGGGCTATCTGCTCATTGGTTCTAGTCATTGTCTACAAAAGTAACAGCACCTTCAATATACAATAACTAAACCAAACAACAATCAACAACACAACAATCAATAAAGAAATCAATACAGCATAGAGTTCAGCACAACAAAAGCCTAAAGGAACCACCCCCCAAAGAGTGTCCACTAGACTCAAACTGCTCTGATACCACTAAAGTGTAACGACCCGCCAGGCCATCACACTCGACTCAACACACAGCACCACATAGACAAGAGCATATATATATATATATATATGATAAAATATATACAATACGTCTAGCCTGAGGCTCAATGTACAAAATACATCCAAAATAGCCAAACTAGTGGCCAAAACAACAAAACATCAAAAGAATCGCCCCAGCGGCCAGCTGCAGCCCTGCCTCTAGACACCAACCTATCCCTACTCTGCTCGCATACAACGTATGATCATTGTAGTCCAAACCACATGGAAACAACAAAGGGTAAGCTAGTGAAAAGAATCAGCATACATATATAAGAATACATGAGTGGTAAACAGCTACAGCTATCAGCACATCAATCTAGTTCAGCAAGATCAGCACACAACACATCACATATACAGCTCACATCATTCAACAATAACAATAGTGAACAAACAATGCGTCGTCACGCATATCAACTAGATTTGGTCGCTTGTAAGCGGTATAGCTCGACCTGGCCCCTATACCGTGGTCGCTTCGTACACGTGTGCCTCAACCTTGCCCATACACGGGACCAACTAAGTACTTAGAGGAGAACAACATAGTGACCACTCCAAGGGACAGCTTCCCAGGGAGGGTTTTCAACAAATTGGGCTCTAAGAGCACCACAGCTACCTCAATCCACACAATGGGATGAGCAATTTTGAAAATATCTCCTCTAGTCTTAGTGATCAACAGCTCAGCCTTACGGCCTACAACAGCTCATATCAGCATGCAGCACAACACATCAATAACATCAATAACATCAATAACAGCATACGACACAACTTAATGATATACAGCACAACTTAATGATTCACAGTACAATAATATTATAATTCAACCTTAACAGCACAACAATATTCATAAATTTCAGCTCAGCTCAGCTTATAACAACATCTATTAGCTAACCTCAGCATATAACAACAAATACACATTCGCGCCCAGCGCACTCATGGTTGCGCTTGGCGTGGCCCAACTAGAGAATACCAGGGCTAAAACGTGCCCGGCGCAATACCAATTGCGCCTGGCGTGTTAGGAGGTAGAGACTCCAAAGAGCCTCACACGCCCGGCGTGCCAAACCCGCCCTCGGCGCAGGGAAGACAGAGACCTCCCCAAGGTCTCACGCCCGGCGCAATACTAATTCGCTCGGCGCCACCTCTAGCAGAGACTCCTAAGGAGTCTCCACGCCTGGCGAGACGTAGTCACGCCCCGCGCAGCACCAGAAATCCCAAAAACATGTTACATACTAATATCGCGCCCAGCGCGGTCCAACCACCCCCGACGTGGGCCATCCAGATGCTCACATTCTCAAGCTCGCCCGACGCACACACCCTTGCGCCAGGCGGGCTTGCCCAAATGGAGCCCTCTGGTGGTCACGCGCCCGGCGCCAAAAACTACGCCCAACGTGATACTCAGCAACAACTCACCAAGTTCAAAAATATTGCCCAAAACCTACAAAAATCAACATTTCCAGCACATGCAAACCAGCCAAAATGCCACATTTTCTTCAAACATCAAGAAAAACACCTCATTTTCAGCATGCAACCATTAACAAGGAAAAATCCCCAAATTTCATCAAAACCCCGGCCAAAAAACCCATTTTCTTCCATCTCAGCCAGCAATCAACCAACATCAAACCAACAATGAGTTTCTAACCTCATTTCCACACAAATCCAGCCAAAAACCTAGCTTCCCTTACCTCGGTGAAGAATTCCAAACTCCGGGACAGCAAAAAGAGAAGAAATGGAGAAAAAGAACGAGTGGAGAAATAAAACGGAGAAGGAGACTGCAGCCAGCTTCCAAACACCACTACACAAAACCTACTCAGCACCACCACCTAAGGTTCCAAAGAAAAGAGACCAAAGGTAAAGAGAGTAAAGAAGAGAAATGAGAGTGAGTGAGAATAGAGAGTTGAGGGGGAGAAATGAGAGACAAGCCACGGTCTCACAGTCAACATCTTAAGTGTCGGTAATTAACTAATTGTAAAAGACAACTTGAACTGCATGTTTGTGTGTTCAACTAGTTAGTCTTAATCCAATAATACAATTTGTTTTTTTTGATTTCTAATATAAAAATTACATTATTAAAAACATATAATAATATAAATTCTTTCTGATATTTTTTATCCATCCTATTCTTTCTTATACAAAATTTATATAGAATAACTTTAAAATCTTTATATTTTGTTTTGTCTAATTTTAAAATTTTTTATAATATATTTTTATCATTCATCAATTAAGGATTTGACTAACGTGTTAATTAATGTTACATATATGTGATGACATAACATGTTAACGGATAACATATATTAATTTTTAGCTAATAAATAATAAAATGTTCAATACAAATTTATAACTTCAAAATGAAATTAAACTATAAAAAAAAATATAAAAGTTGTTGAACTCAATTATACCTCTTCATAGTTTAAGAACTCAATTAAAAAATCTTAAAAATTTCATATTAAACCTTAAAAAAAATCCATAATTAAAGCCGAAATAATTCCCATCCAACATCCATGATTATTATATATAAAAAATGCGTAGAAAAATAAAAAAAATAGAAAAAAATAAGACACGCGCGCACACACCAACTATACTATACACACTACAAAGAGACACTGAGCTTACTTTACTTTTACCCCATTCCTATGCAGCTTCATGGGATTGAACTGCAATCACCACTTAGTACCGTTCAAACCCCCTCACAATTCTGCAACTTTTTCTGCAGATTCTCATTCCATCACCCCTTTTGGTTGAACTGGCTGTGTCAATGAGGCTCTTCCACTTTCCACTCTGCTCCTGAACTGGTCTCTCTCTCTCTCCTTTTTCTTTTTTTTGCTTGTTTTTAGCAACTGGGGTTCTGTGGAAACCTGAAAAATCTTTGCTTTATGGGGTTTGATTGTTGAACTGAAGAGTGCCCTTGTTGAGATTTTCAGAAACTAAGTTGTGGATACAACAAAGGCATGTCCTTTGTGCTTTAAGGACCTTGATTTGTCTGTTGGAGGAATACAGAATCGTGCTTTTCCTTTTTATGGATAAAATATCCTGGACTTGAATCATGTCCTTTTTGTACTGTTTGCCGTGCTTGAAAGTTGAAACTTTGCTTAACTTTGTGTAATTGCAGTTGTTCATCATGGTGTGTTGCTGAATTTAAAAAGTTTCCATTTGTTTGAATCTGAGAATTTGAAGGGATGGGGGTGTTAGATTCTGTTCCATATCCTGTTTGATCGACCATTTATGTGGGTTTCTTCATGTGAGAAGAATATTGGTTATTTATTTTATCATGCTTTCTGTCAGGTTTTTAAATGTTTTCATATTCTTTGACTTGTTGTTTGGTAAAGGAGTTTGTTTCCTTACGTTGAGGGGGAACATCAAAGTTGTACACTACTTAAAGTGTATTATTCCTTCTATTGATGTAATTCATGGTATTGATTGTCACTCTTGTGTGCTTCTCTGATTATGTAGTGTTGTTCAGTTTTATGCAAAACAATATTAATTTCATACATTTCGAACATAGACATTATGTATAGTGTAATACCATGGGCTGGTTTTCTTACTCTCCATGTGGCATATAGTACTACTAGTTCATAGGTGGTGGAATTTCCTTGCTACACCTATAATCTGGTTTTTCCTTTAATCTTCCTTCCCGTTGTTTGTTGCTTCCTTTTCCTTTATATAACTTGTTCTAAAAGTAATTTAGAGTTTGATATTTTGATTTATTGTGCTTTCTCCGTCTTTTCAACAATTTTAATTAGTTGATAAAAAATATAGGCTTATGTTCTGAATCTATCCCATGTGAATCTGACTTTTAGTTCAATTAATTGCTAACTTTTAATTCTTTTGACATAAAATATAGGCCCCTTCTTACTGTCTTGAAGTATGAACTTAGCTAGAGAGCCTATTTGCTATCTTCTATGTTGCCAGTTCTTTTTGCATCCTACGAGTCCCTTTTTATTTAAATAAAACGTGATTTCAGGTTTTTCAAAAGATGGAGCGCTCCAGGCTAAACATGAGAGTCCGTTGCTCTGGTTCAACTCCCTCAGAAGAATCTGCTTTGGATCTTGAAAGAAACTGTTGCAGTCATTCTAATCTGCCTTCACTTAGTCCACCGACGCTTCAACCCTTTGCTTCAGCTGGACAGCATTGTGAGAGCAGTGCTGCTTACTTCTCATGGCCAAGCCGCTTGAATGATGATGCCGAAGAGAGAGCAAACTATTTTTTAAATCTACAAAAGGGGGTGCTACCTGAAACCCTTGGTCGCCTGCCAAAGGGTCATCAGGCAACCACATTACTTGAACTCATGACAATAAGGGCATTTCACAGCAAGATACTGCGTTGTTACAGCCTTGGAACAGCAATTGGTTTCCGCATACGGCGAGGTGTATTAACAGATATTCCTGCCATTCTAGTGTTTGTTTCCAGGAAAGTTCACAAGCAATGGCTCAGCCCAATCCAATGTCTGCCTACTGCTCTTGAGGTTCTTGGAGATATTCAAATTTAACCTCCTTGATTCAATTTTGAAGTTTGAAGTATTTATATATGACTTATAGTTGTTTAGTTGTATTCTAGTGTCTAGAGTTAAAAATCAATGTTTAATTTGTGAATCAGGGACCTGGTGGAGTATGGTGTGATGTGGATGTGGTGGAGTTCTCGTATTTTGGTGCACCTGAGCCTGTTCCAAAAGAACAGCTGTACACAGAGATCGTGGATGACTTGCGTGGGGGGGATCCGTGCATCGGTTCAGGATCTCAGGTGTTTCTGTGTTTTCTTAATTAATGTTTCCTATGGAAGGACCCATCTGGTTTACAAAAGATTAGCTTTGGTTAATTGCTATTGTGTGTGTGTATGTGATGACTGATGATTAACAAGCATTTTTAGCCTTTCCTCTTAAAAACAACAGTATAACTACTTTGCCTTAATTTTATCAAAGATCATATTATTTGCTTGCTTTGGAGATTTTTCCTAGTCAGAGTCTTGACTGTGTCAGTCTAACTTCGCAGTTTGTGCTATAACTTCAACAAAGCATCTTGAGTTTTCTCTAGATTAACTTTAATCTCACAGAAGTTCATGTTGACATCTGGATATGTTAATGAACTTGACCTTTTATGATATACTCCTGGGGACATAGCTACTTTTGATTTTCCACTTCTTTTAATTTCATACCTTACACTTCGAGCTTTAAAATTTCTCATGTACTTTCTTATAAAGCTTCCTGAAGCATTATGTGGATAAATTATTTATTTATTTTTACTTGCTTTTAATTCTTAACCAGTTTCTATAGATGGATGTCGATGCTTTAAGAAATGGCTTAAATATTTGATTTCCTCCTTGATTTGCATTTGTGGCACTCACATACGCGCGCAATTTAACCAGTTTTTTTATTAGAACTTAACCATAAATCTGATTCCCAATGTCCTTTATTTGACAATGTCATTGTTGGAAAGTCATCTTTACTTTCTATGATCTTTCAAGGTTCAGCCTAATCTCTTCTAACCTATGTTTTTGGGATGCGTTGCTCTATATTTCAGAATTTTCCAACCTCAAATTAGCTATAAGTTTAGGATAACCATAAATGCAGACCTTGTGGTTTTGTTGGTCTAGTCAAAAGCAGTCATTTGATAAATTAAATTATTGGACTCTCAGCTGACCATCATCCACTTGATAAGTCAAATTTGTGAAGAAATTGTTAAATATAAAGCCATTTCTCCACATATCTGGATTACTGAAGATTGTTGCAAAACTTCTCTACATATATTTCATCTACATGTAGTGTTCTTAATTGAGTTGAATGTCAACATTCCAAGTCATCCACCATTAAACTAACTATCTTGTTTTGAGCAAATAGTTCACTTGGTGTTTTCAGAAATCAATGCTGATCATAGAAGCATCTCTAGTAGCAAATTTTGTAGTGCTCTATTTGATGAATATATTGGACCTCTAACCACTTACTTTCTTAGTCCAGGTGGCAAGCCAAGAGACATATGGAACTTTGGGTGCCATTGTGAAAAGCCAAACAGGTAGTAGACAAGTTGGTTTTCTCACAAATCGTCATGTAGCAGTCGACCTAGATTATCCAAATCAGAAGATGTTTCACCCTCTTCCACCCACTTTGGGGCCTGGGGTTTATCTTGGTGCAGTTGAGAGAGCTACTTCATTTATAACGGATGAGCTTTGGTATGGAATATTTGCTGGAATAAACCCAGGTAACACTTTGGTATGGCATAATTGGGCTACTCATATTTTTTCCCCATGCATACTCACCCTTCACGATGTGCTTTTCCTGCAGAGACTTTTGTTAGAGCTGATGGTGCATTCATTCCTTTTGCTGATGACTTTGACATGTCCACTGTTACTACTTTAGTGAGGGGTGTTGGAGACATTGGTGATGTGAAAATAATTGACCTACAGGCTCCAATTAGTAGCCTTATTGGAAAACAAGTGGTGAAGGTTGGAAGAAGCTCCGGCTTGACTACAGGAATTGTTTTGGCTTATGCCCTCGAGTACAATGATGAGAAAGGCATATGCTTTCTAACAGATCTTCTTGTTGTTGGTGAGAACCAACAAACTTTTGACCTTGAAGGAGACAGTGGAAGTCTCATCATGTTAAAAGGTGACAATGGTGAGAAACCACGACCAATTGGGATAATATGGGGAGGAACTGCTAACAGGGGCCGCCTTAAGTTAAAAGTTGGGCAACCTCCTGAGAATTGGACTAGTGGAGTTGATCTAGGGCGTCTTCTCAATCTACTTGAACTTGATTTGATAACAACTGATGAAGGACTTCAAGGTTTGTCACTTGTTTCCTAATAGATCATTCCTGTATTCCTCTATTTTCCCCCCTTTTTCTTTTAAATTTAGCATTCTCAAATAAGGGATTAGATTATTAGAATTTACTTTAGGGTGTTTTATTCCCACTTTTCCAAAGGCTGTTTCTGTATAAACGGAGCTTTAAAGAACACAAAAACAGCCGGTGCTATTGATGGTGTGAATTTGTGTTGATGCTTGAAGGGAAAGGGTGCAATATGTAATTTAATCTTGTAATCTGAAATGATCTTAGTGGGGTTAGCTTCTTTATTTTCATGTCTAAAACCAAGTACACAATCATTTTCTTGTGACCTATTACTATATTACTATGACACTGTTTATTTACATTGAATATAGTTTGAAAATATGGACGCAAGTTTTTCTTTACATGAAGACAGGTTTGAAAAGGTTTTTCTTTATATTGATTACAATTATTTACAGGAAGTTAAAGAAAAAGTTAACTACTAAAATCTGAAATTTTTGTCTGTTATTTGTAGTGGCGGTGCAAGAACAAAGAGCTGTGTCAGCCACAGTAATTGGCTCTACAGTTGGTGATTCCTCACCTCCTGAAGGTGTACTTCCAAAAGATAAAGCTGAAGACAAATATGAGCCACTTGGTCTTCAAATTCAGTCCATTCCCTTGGGAAGTGTGCCTAGCAGCCAAGACATGAAACCAACAATCATGGAGACTGAATTCAAATTAGAAGATGGAATCAAGGTTGGTCCTAGCGTCGAACTCCAGTTCATCCCGAGCTTCAACGGGCGATCTCCGTTGCACAAGAACAACATACAGGACAGAACTGCAACAGAGAACTTGTCTTCATTGAGGAATAACTGTGATGAAGACTTGTGTGTTTCACTGCAACTTGGTGACAATGAAGCCAAGAGAAGGCGTTCCGAAGCCTCAACTAGTACTGAGGAACCTCAGTGAAACACATTATTTGCATAAGTTGGTAAAACTGACTTGTAAGTTTAATCACCACAGAATGTGTTGTTATGACCCACTTTGGTACTGTGTTTATGCTTAGCAACTATGACAATGAGCAATGATGTGAATGGAGTACACTTTGTGTATGAAGTTCAAGTGAATTTGTGGTCATGGAAGGCCATTAAGTCCTCAAATGCTTGAATTTCTGAACTGAAGTATGGCACTTTTCAATTAACATGTGCATACTTTGCCAATTAACTGGTAGCATACATCATGGCACTCACAATGGTTTATAATAGTGATGAACTGATGCCTTGAGTTGAATTTTTATCATCTGTCTTTTTGATTTCCCCTTTCCTAAGTCTTCAAATGTGTTTGGTAAAGTTTTTGTTAAGAGAAATAATACCTTATTTTTCAATTTTTTTATTTATAAATTCAGTAAAATAACTAATTATTTATTATAAATAAGCTGAATTGACCATTCATTCAAAAATAAATAAATTACTTGAATGTATTATTAAAATAACCATTGAAAGTATTAAAATAAATGAATGATTGAGATTAAATTATTCTTTTGGGTATCATAGATTCATAGCCATTCATTTATTTTATTGTATCATAATTCTCTATGGACCAGGGTTTTTGTTTGTCCATCACCTAATTTCGGTGGGTTTATTTTTCTCAAAGTTTGGAACAGCTACATCCAATTGGGATTTTCTTTTTGTCATTTGGTGACCTTTATTATTTTATTTGGAGGCTACTTTGAAATGAGATTAAAAACTAAAAAGAGATAAAACGGAAATAAATATTAAACTTAAGAAGAGAAAAAAGTGACCTTGTCGTTTAATAAATTAGTTTTAGATTTTATGTTTTCCTTATTTATTAAAATGGAAACTTAGGCTTTGTTTGGATTTGAGGATGGAAAAGGGGGAGTGAAAAAGGAGAGATTTGAAGGGAAAGTGAGTGGAAAGTGAGGTTGTTTGGATTAAGGGAAAGTGAGTGGAACTGGAAAGTGTAGAGAAAGTTTCACAAGTTTGTGAAAGTTTGTGAATGAAATGATTGATGTGATAGATAAAAATAAATTTTTTAATTGATAATTGTGAAAGATTACTATTTTGCCCTTAAGTTAAAAAAAGTTTATAATTATTATAATTAAAAGATAAATATATAAATTTTAACTAAAAAAATTATAAAAAATTAATTTAAAAATAAATTAATTTAAATATTTGGTTTAAATTTAATGATAGATAAAAAATAAAAATTTAAGAGATGAATATATAATTTACACTTTTACCCTTGGATTAAAAATGAGTATAATATTATTTATTGTAATTAATAATAATTACAATAAAATTATATTAATAGGGTTTATTTACTAAAAAAATAATAAATAATGATAAGAATAATAATAAATATTAGAAAAATAATAAGAATCATAATAAATAATAATGATACTAATTATAATAAATAATAATATTAATATTAATAAAAATAAAAACAATAATATTTATAATAATAAATAATAATAACAAAATATATTATGATAATTATATTTTGTAACATTATTTTATTAATGTTTATGAAAGTGTTATTATTATAATTTTATAAACATGTTTTACTTTATTTTTTTTATATTTCCACTTTTTGATGTTAATATTTAATATATAATACCTTAAATTAAATATAATTATTTAATATTAATATTTAATATATATATATAAATTAAATATTAATATTAAATAATTATATTTAATTTAAGGTATTATATATTAAATATTAATATTATATATATATATATATATATAAACGTATTAAACATTAATAACAAATTAATGTGCCCAGAACGGCCCGTTCCGAAAGTGGAACGTCCCGTTCTGGGGTTATTAAGTACTCCGCAAAGGTCACAAGTGGAACGACCCGTTCCAAAAGTGGAACAGCCAGTTTTAAAAGTGGAACGACCCGTTCTGCTTTCGCATTTTTCTCATAACATGCATTTTTGGAACGGGCCGTTCCGGGTTCCACTGACAGCGAAAATACCCTGCATAATCGATTATGCTTGGCCACATAATCGATTATGGCCTTGCACAATCGATTATACCTCACCCATAATCGATTATGCAAGGCCATAATCGATTATGTGACCAACCATAATCGATTATGCTCCTTCGTATATGATCAAACGAAGACCTCTTTCCACAATCACTCACCACCAACACCCACCAGCCACCATCAGCCACCCAACGTCGAGAATCAGCACCAGCCCGTGGAGAACGTAAACCTGAATCCTCTGCTGCATGACACATGCATGGGAGGGGCATTTTCAGATTTTCACAAATCCTACGTGACTTTCAGCTCCTTTCTTCCCTTTTGTGCGAGGAGAGCAAAAGTGCTTCTCCTCTCTTTTCTTCGCCTTTCTTTCGTTCCAAATCACGGGAAACAAACACACACAATCCACGCCTTTCTTTGCTCGTAAACAGTATTTCTCCAAAAACAAACACTACCTTAAAGCTTCATTGAAAAGGGCCTCAAAAAATATTCTACTAGATAATATTGACAGCTATTTTACTCTTTACACTTCCATTTCTTTTTAAATTATCTTGATATCTACTTTTTTTTTTTACTCCAAGTCTCTTCCCTTCCCTTCCCCACTCTCTCGTTTCCACCCCCCATCATCTTCATTTGACAGAAACCTGAATCTTTAATGAAATTTCTCCTTCTAATAACAATTTTTTTATTTATAAAATTTGAATTTGATATCTTTCAACAGTAGAATTACTAGATACACAACAATTATAAACGAAAGTACAAATACAAATATTCAACAAAAGAATTACTAAAACTCATTATCCTTCTCCTAAGGAATGATACAAATATGTGCGAGTTGTTGTAAACATACATGAGTCCAATTTTAAATAAACAAAAACTAATAAAAAAAGTAAAATAAAGAAATCTTAAAAACTTACTATCTATTAAATATTGTAACAATTAATATAATTTATTAAAGAAAGAAGAATAAAATAAATATTAAAAATCTAAACGATTCTTTTGAGTGGAAAAAAGTGCACCAAAATGTAAGAAAACTTTCGTTGTTTATTATATAAAAAAATTAAGAAGAATATCAACAATATTTTTTAATATTTTATTTTTTATTTAATTAAAATTTATTAAAAATTACACATTTTAGTAAATTTTACACCGATTAGGAGACAGAAGGCTCTAGGAAAAATTGTATTGGTTTTTAATTTTAGTCAATTACAAAGAAAGCATTATGGCCTAGGAAGAATATTCTCACATTTCTGAAGATATTAAAATTAAGATCAGTAAAATAATTATAACTATTAGTATGTATCATTAGAAATTTAGAATAGAATATAACGTCCATGCAAGGTTGACCCGACCCGTAAAACCCACTCCGACCCGGTCCATTAACAAAGGGATAGGGATCGTCGCTAGACACTGTTCACACTTCACACACACCGTTCTGTCTTATTTCTTTTGGATTCCCTTGGCTTTCAATTTCACTCCTTAGCTAGGTTGAGGAGCTAGGGTTTATCGAGGGTTTCGTTCGTTCCTTCCTTTCTCTCTGCAACAATGGCGAAGCCTGGGCGAGGTCGTCGCTCACCCTCCGGTTCCGCTTCCGGCTCCTCGCGCTCCTCTTCCCCCTCCGATTCTCGCTCCTCCTCTCGCTCCCGCTCCCTCTCCCGCTCCCGCTCCCCCTCGCGCTCCAGATCCTTCTCTTCTTCCTCGTCTTCTCCTTCCCGCAGTTCGCGCAGCCGCAGTCCTCCGCCGCAGAGGCGCCGAAGGTACGGCACCGTTCGTTTTTGCGATCGGAGCGTCTTCCGTCCGCATTTCGTGTCTGTTTTTCTGGAGTGTTTGTTGTTTGTTATTTTCTTAGCTGCTGATTGTTGATGTTGAAGTTGAGGACTCTTTGTTTTTATTTATTTATTTTTTATTTTTGGATTTCGTGCTGGAAGTTTTTGCCTGCGGTGTGATTGAGAGATGTGTGGAGATTGAATCTTGTGGAAATGTTTGGTGCGCTAGGTTTTGTGTTGTTTCTGAAGAGGATTAACGGTCGTTTTGGTTTTCTTTAAGCTGTTTGTGTGTGTATGAGTTTGAATTGTAGTTGTGGCTGAGATGATTATGCAGGTGAACTGGTTAAGTGAGTTGGAAAGATGACTATGGAGGATGTGAAAGTGGTTTTTTATTTTATAAACATTCTGTTTATTATTATTTTCTTCAAATTTTGGTCAATTTGGTTTTTGAAGACCAGGTTGATATGATGCTACTTTTTTTATTTTGTAGTCCTGTTGAAGGAGCTAGGCGAGGGCGGTCTCCTCCACCACTGTCTAAGAGAACTTCTCCTCCTCCAAGGTAATGAAATAATTTCAAATTTGTTATTTCGATTTTACTTTTTTGTGTTAGTTCTTGAATAAACTGTCACAGGGACTAGAAATTGTCATTTCAATGTATATCTTGTATGCTATGTGTAAATGATTGCAGTTGCGATTCTTGTTAAAGTTTAAGTGTGTTTGGATGAGTGTCTGCAAAATTGATTTTGAATCAAATTGATTATCAAGTGAAGTGATTTAGTTTTGAAATTTTTTTCCTGAAAGCAGCTTCGTGTAAATTTTTCAACCCAATGCTAAAGTTGATTTTTATCACTTCTAGTCAAACTGAGGTTTCGGGTCTAAATCAATTTTACCTAGCATTAACCAAGCACTATATTCTTATAAAATCAAGTTTGACTGTAGTGAAAATCAATTCTCATTACTTCTACGAAACCAAGCGAACTCTAACATGGTATATCGTGCAAGTTGATAAGATGCAAATTAGTAGTGGGACAACAAAGTTGACACAGTTTTCTATGGTGTCTGGTGTTAACTGTCTAGTGTTTCACTGTTCCATTTGCATTGTATATTTTAATTTTGATGTTTCACTTCATAATTTTAAATTTAAATTCAATTCAGCATTCTTTGGATGTGATCCTTCTACATTCATCAATTGATGGGCTTTCTTCAATTTTGTGTTGTTTGTACTTTTTACTTATGTATTTATCTCTTGTGCCTGGACACAGGAAACCTTCTCCTGTACGCGAATCACTTGTTCTTCATGTAGAAAAGCTCAGCAGAAATGTCAATGAAGGCCATTTGAAAGAGATTTTCAGTATGTTTAATTTTTTCTACCTTCCAAGTTTTTTCTTACATTTTGAATGACATAACATAGGTTCTCTGATATCCTTGAGACCTTGAGGTTGCCATATAATTGGAAGAGTTATTATTTGGCAATGCATGTTGAAATTGTCCGGTCCAATGACAATGTAAGCGATGTCTCATGGAAGTAGCATCCACGAGTTTAGCTCAATGCAACTTTTCTTTTTGTTCCTTTTTTATTTAGGTTAATGTGTCATTAAACTGTTACTTTCAATTGATTAAACTTCATTATCAGTGATATTAGTATTATTAACTGGAAAGACACAGTAGCTTGATGCTTTATAGCATAATTAAGGAGGCGTTTGTTTTATGTAATCTTTTGGTATTCCCGGAAATATGAAGGTGAGAATATTTATACTCATGGAAGTAACGTCCATGAGTTTAGCTCAATGCAACTTTTCTTTTTGTTCCTTTTTTATTTAGGTTTATGTGTCATTAAACTGTTACTTTCAATTGATTAAACTTCGTTATTACTTTATTAGTGATATTAGTATTAATAACTGGAAAGACATAGTAGCTTGATGCTTTATAGCATAATTAAAGAGGTGTTTGTTTTAAGTAATCTTTTGGTATTCCCGGAAATATGAAGGTGAGAATATTTATACTCATGTTTGTTAGACGGCTATAAAAAGATATTCCCGGGTACATTTTATTCCCAAGAATGTAAAACCTTCCTATTTTACATGCTTCTCATGAGAATGGAAGTTATTTTTTTTTTTTAATAACTACCTCTTCCCTCTTTTTCGTTCCACATTTCTTCACTATTTTAATATTTTAATTAAATAAAAAAATATTTTTTCTAAAACTAATCATGTCAAACGGATTCATGGGAATAGCATTCTTTGATATAATATTCCCGGGAATGAGATTCCCTGGAATACAATATTATACCCAGTGGTGGATCTACAATTAAAGGACTAGGGGCAATTGCCCCCAGAAGGTTCCTTTTATTTATTTGAATACAGTAAGTAATTTATTGTTTCCCCCATCGAAATAAAGGCTTCCCTCATATATTTATTTGAATATTGCACTTATAACTTTTAATGTTTCAATTCAATTGTTACAGTGGCAAATGTCAATTGTTTTTTGAATTAAAAAAATTTATTAAAAGATCAGGACATGCAGCGAGCTAACCTTTTTAATTGCCCTTTTATTTTTAATGCTTCATCTTCTATAATAAAAATATTACTGTATAAATATTTTCTTGCCCCCATTAAAAAAAAGTTCTGCATCCATCACTGATCATACCTTGAAGCAAACTCTCCCTAAGGGAAGAGACATTTTAGTGACCTTAAGGAATTGATATCAGTAACTGAAAGCAAGCTTTAATGACCTCTATAATTTAAGATGCCATATCTGCTTTTGGTGACCCTTTTGTAACACAACCTTATGCATAAACTTTGCAGGTAACTTTGGTGAGGTTGTAAGTGTGGAGCTGGCAATGGATCGAACAGTAAGTTTGCTTTTACTTTCACATTGTAACTTTAGAGGAATTTAGTATGATATGGCATTTTAATCCCTTGCTCATTTCCAGGTTAATCTTCCAAAAGGATATGGATATGTGCAGTTCAAGACAAGAGGGGATGCAGAAAAAGCATTGTTATACATGGATGGTGTAGGTTTCTGTGACTGAATAGGATTGATTTCCATAATCAAGCTTGCTGGCTGTTGCATTTGTAAATTTGATGCCTTTGTATTTTGTAATACAGGCCCAAATAGATGGCAATGTCATCAAGGCAAGATTTACCCTACCTCCAAGGCAGAAAGTTTCACCACCCCCAAAGACTTCTGCTGTTGCTCCAAAGAGAGACACCCCCAGGACTGATAATGCTAATGCAGATATTGACAAGGATGGGCCAAAGCGTCAAAGAGAATGTACGTACCTGATGTTTGGGCATTTTCTTCTTCTTCTTATTTGTATTATCATATTGGTGTCGTTTATGTTTACTGAACTGTAGTTTGATGATACCAGCTTCTCCTCGTAGAAAACCTCTTCCCTCCCCGCGGAGGAGGTCTCCTATTCCTCGAAGAGCTGGATCTCCAAGAAGACCAGATTCTCCTCGCCGACGTCCAGATTCTCCTGTCCGTCGCCGATTAGACTCTCCTTATCGTCGTGGAGGAGACACACCTCCTAGGAGGCGGCCTGTGTCTCCTGGAAGAGGTCGTTCTCCATCTCCACCAAGACGCCTTAGGTCCCCTGGAAGGTTGGCTTTCAACTGCATATATATTTGGGTAACAGTTTCCTTTGTCAAGTCTACTCATTTATATATAATCTCTATAGGGTTTCTCCCAGAAGGTTGCGTGGAAGCCCAGGTCGGAGACGATCACCTCCTCCTCCTCCAAGGCGCCGGTAATCTTATTATTATTATTATTATTATTATTGTTTTCTTTGATTATCACTTTGCATTTTGTGATGGGTTGTACATGTGATTGATTGCCCTCTTAAAAAACGAATATTTTCCTTCAGATCACCACCTAGACGAGCTCGAAGTCCTCCTAGAAGGTCCCCATTGGGTCGTAGACGGACTCGCTCTCCAATACGGAGGTCTGCACGCTCACGGTCAAGATCATTTTCACCTCGCAGGTAATTTTTTTGCATGATTATGTTTCATCTAGTACATCGATTGATAAAATTAGCTTCTGTATATTTTTTCCGTTCTATAGTATGTTTTATTTTTGTCAATTTGTTTGCTTTTTTGGTTAATAGAATATTTTGGTAGAAGGAAAAAAAAAAGCGATAGATAATGAGAATGTGAAAATATGATGCTTGGACCAGGTGGATTCTTTAGTTATCCAGATCCCTTTAAATGATCATATATGCAAACTTAATGAAATTTAACGAGGTTTAATGCTAGTAATCGAAGGCGTAAACTTCCATATGTTAAAAATGAATTCCTTGTGATAAATAATGACAGAAGAAAGAGATTTCAGAGTAACTACTCTGCTGATTAGCAGGAACCAAAGAAATGTTTATTTCCAAAATTCTTTCAGGATTCAAAATCTTTTAACTAACATTTGGATGCTTATGAAAATACATGAAAAGTTTTATGGATTTCTAGTTATTTTTTTTTGTTGAATGCCTGAATGCACTTCGAAAATATTTGAACATTGCATATTTTATTCTCTTGACAGAGGTAGACCACCTGTTAGACGTGGGAGGTCATCATCCTATTCTGATTCACCAAGTCCGCGCAAGGTATGTGGCCTTTTCTCATTTATATGGACAGTGTTATTTTTACTTGAAATATTATATGGCTCAGTCCTTCATAACTTTGACAGGTAACCCGGAGATCAAAGAGTCGCAGCCCAAGAAGGTAATGTATTTTAAATAATTTTTTTTGTCAAATCTTCCCGTCGATTTCTTCTCTGCTTTTTGTAGCATTCACTGTTTGATTTCCCTGGAAAGTTTCTTGGGATTTGTTTAACAACATTGATTCTTTGTTCTTTTTATATTGCTGAAATGCTTTTTCTTCTTTTCGAAATTCAATCATTTGTGGTCTAGAGCAAGATTAAAATAATTTTATTAAGATTTTCCATCTGTGACTTGAAGGATTTGTTCCCTTCAAAAAGACTTAAATGTAAATAAGGGTAATTTTTTTTGTAAATCTTGTCAATTTCTCTTCTTCAGTCTCATTTCTTTTTTCAGTAACTGGATTTTGGATGTTAAATTATTTTAAGTGCACATATCTCGAGGTCAAATACTGGCTTGTTAAAGAGTTTGCGATTTTTCAGATTTTTATTTAAGGATATTTATCAGTAAGGCCTGCTTTGAAGATTTAATTGATAATTCTGCTTAGGTGTTTGCGATGATGTTTCCCATAATTTTTGGTAATGTAAATATATACTCCCTAATTATAGGCCTTTGAGAGGAGGAAGAGGCAGTAGCAACAGCAGCAGCAGCAGCTCCCCACCACCAGCTCGCAAACCATAGATAATTCTTGTACATCTGTTGTCTCTTTCTGTTGATGTATTTATCGAGATTCTGTACCAGCTTGTTATAGCTGCCATGTGCTTGGGGATATATGTTGCTTTTCATTGTTGTCTATTAACTAATTTTTTCTTATTAGCACTAGAATTGTTTTGGAAACTAACCGTTCTGTTTATTTCCGTCTGGATTATTCCGAAGCTTTGTTATGTTGATCTAAAATGCAAACCATTGGAGATGATAGTTGGCTTTTTTTTTTCTTTTTTTCTTTTGTATTCGGAACAGTTATAATGTCAAGTAATTCAGTGAAATTTCTATGTTCGTTAGTTTAGAAATTTGAATGCGAAGAAAGTAGATGTCTAATGTGTAGTTTCCTAGAATTTGCTCGAAATGCAAAACTGAGCCATGATTTTATTTATCTTGCAACAATTGTACGAAGAAATTCTTTCTAAACTTGGTTATAGTTTACTTTCGGCTTATGAAGGCGTATTTTGAGAAAACATGCGAGTCAAGCTTTTATTTGATTTTATCTTTTTTATTTTTATTTTTATGTGAGTGCCAAGATTACAAAGTAAGATTTGGAATTAATTTCTATTTGAAGTACAATAAAGGGTTTGCAAATAGTTGACAGAAAGAAAAATTGGAGGGTAAATTACCATGAAGAGGCACTTAATTTCTGAAAATAATTCTGAGCAAGTCTTTCAAAGTTTGTTATTTTATGTAACTTTTTACAAGTAGTTATTTATTACTGTTTTAATTTTTGAAGACATTAATATTATATTTAAGTTACATTTTTTTTTTGTAACAAAAAAGTAACATGTTTTTCAGTATTGAAATAAAGTGAGTATTGTACGTTAGAAGACTTTTTTTCTTTAAATTTTTATACTTTCAAAAACTAAAGTATTTTATATACTTTTAGGATTGCAAGAGGTTTTACTACTTTCTAGATTGGAGTTGCTTTTCAAGTTGTACCCGCTGAAACCCTACTTCATGTCCAAATATACTTGGGTTGAAACAAGATAAAAAATTAAGAACTATATTGTTAACCATTGTAACAAAATATTTAACTTGTATCATTGTTAATTATACTTCAATTTTTATTTTTATTTTTAAATTTAGGGTAGACTTGAGTTATCCCGACAATTAATAAATAGGAGATTAATTTTCCTGGAGGTAAAAATATTAGTTTTTTTTACACGGCAAAATATTAGTTATACTTTAGAACAACTTTACTCGTAAATACATTTTTAATTCATGTAATTAGAAATCTAACCCCCTTCGTATACTTTTTTTAATAATTTTTTTTAAAATTTTATAATTATTTCAAGATTATTCTTTTTCACTATTATTTTATTTTCTATTTCTCCATAAATCTCTAATTAATCACTTTCCCCCCCTAGTAATGGATCTTTCGAGCTGGTATATAATTTACTTGATAAATAATTAAGGCTTAAATATTTTAGTTCAAATTTAGAGTTAGTTCTTCAAATTTAGAGTGATTTTTTTTTTGATCTCCTAAATTTGAAATTGTTGTTTTTAACCCTATAATTATTAAAAATCTTATTTTAATCTTTAGGTCATCAATAATATATAATTAAGATAATTATATAATATTAATTAGATTTAATGTAATATTTTTACTAAAAAATATTGATAAATAGATTTTATATAACAATATTTGACAGATTTATTAACAAAACTTAAGTATAAAGATTAAAATAAATGTTTTAAAATTTTAAAGACTAAAAATAAATTTATCTTAAATTTAAGAAATTAAAAATATATTTAAGTTAATAACTTAAAATCAGAAAAGGAAATTAAGAAAAATGGTATATTTGGGATCCAAATGGCGAACACATCGTAGATTAATCTAAACTTGGACCTATGTGTCGACCCGATCCATTTCCACATCTGTCAGTGCCACGGTCTCTGACACACACACTCTCTCTCTAGGGTTCAGTTTTGCCCCCAATTTTGTGTACCGTTTCCCTTTTGAAGTTTCGTTCGAAGAATCCTCAATCCCAAATTGGCCTCTCTCTTCGCGATTACCGCTTTCAAAGAGAACAAGTTGAAGAGCGAACACTCGTCCCACAGCTCCGAATATTTGTAGAATGAAGAAGACAGACACAACGAGGTAAAATTAGGGTTGTCACAAAATTATATAAAAAGCCTTTCTTTTTCATCTAACGTAATTTTCCCCCGAGAAAACTTTGAGCTTGAGAATTCTCCAATTTTGTTGGATTTCAGTTCGGAATATTCATCGGGTTATTCTTGATATAGTTAAGTTCCTATGCATGTGCAGTGTGTGTATGATCGTAGGGTTGTCTCCTGTGTTGGTATTTCTGCAGAAGAGTTGTTAATTCAGGTCCAAGCCAGATTCTAGAACCTGCTATTTTTTGTTTGCCTTTACTAATACTTGAGCTCAATTTAATGTTTTCTGTTTGCACCTTGTCATAATATGAGGACCCATGTGATGGTTTCATTATTTTGGCTCCCTGATCATCAAGAATATCCCTAGAATGATAATGCTGTTGTTGTAATCACGAATTTAACTTTCAACAGGATGCATTGCACATGAATTTTGTTATCTTAGGTTTGTGGCTTTTTTCCTGTGTTGACAGTTTGGTTGGTTCCACTTGTCTAGACTAAGATAGCAGACAGACTAAGAGGTTTCATGGCAGGCAGTGGCCTGCCATCTTTGGGTCGTGTGAAGCTTACTGATTTAGTCCCTTCAGACGGGTTGCCTTCTGATTCTTATAAAATATCAGTTTCTATTTTGTCACAATCTCTGGCTCAGTTTTCGGCAGTCATCATCCAGTTTCCAGCAAGTGATGGGGCTCTTCTGAGATCTGGGATAGAATCTGCTCGCCTCTATTTCCACCAAAGGGAAACATATCCGCCTGCAGATATAATCCATACAAATGAGTCTCGTGAGTGGTGCAAAACATCTGGTTATTATACAGATTCTCATTTGTGGCAAGAAACATATGACTATAGACCAGGATTGACTCCTTCAGAACCTAATGATTCAATTGAGTTTCCTCCGGCGGGTTTGCCAGATATCTTTGCTTTATTTGGAAAAGCAGCAAGAGATATTCTGGATGCAATTGGCTACCATTTGAATTTGCGCAGCTCTCCATTTGTAGAAATACTGGATAATGTTCCCCTGAGAAATAGGGAAATATCATCTTCAGTCTTGTCTGTTTGCTGTCATGCAAGGCCATCATTTCAGGGGTCACAGCATCATAATATAACTACTCAGGAGGATAGCCAATTGATTATGTATCCTGACCATGATCACCAAGTTGATAAAAGCTTGCTATCACTTGTTAAGTCTGACAGGGCAGGTTTACATATAAGGGACTTTCAAGGGCGGTGGATTCTTGTGGATGGAGATCTGGGACCTCAAGAAGCTATTGTTTATCCTGGGCTTGCTCTTTACCAAGCAACTGCAGGATATGTAAACCCTGCATTACACAAGACTGAGATTAATATGGAGGCTAATATGTATGGACGATGTTCTTTAGCCTTCAAACTTTTGCCCAAGTCAATGACCAGTTTTGATTGTTCAGAAATGCGAGCAGCAGGTTATGGAATTGAAGCTCAGTTCCAGCTTCCTGTTCCGGTGGATGATTTTATGCAAAGATCTCATCCAACAGATAGTCTCTTTAACAGGCCTGGTTTCCAGTGCTTTAATTTCCAACCAACGCATGATGGTATGTAGCATTCTAATTATATTGGGAATGTGATTTGTTGTATACTTTATTTGAATAGGACTACAGGAAATTTGTTTGTATTCTTCAAAACTTCATTTAAGAACATGCTTAATTTGAATGATGCCTATGCTGAAATTTGAATGCCAAACCTATTTTTTACTTATGTTAATAATTCAATTATTGTTTAGGATTAGCGTACAAGAAATAAGATTAGAGTAGACCATGCGTCTTAAGAATTGTATCAACTTTCACTATCAGTTGCTTGTGTCCCCATTTTTTCTCTTAATCTTGCCCATTAGAACATCGATTATCCTAGGTTGGAAAAATTGTGTCTTGTTTTTTAGTTTTTCTATACTTCAATCTTTATATGTGAATCATGTTAGTTAGTAAAACATGTTTATCAAATGTGTAGTCTTCACATCAATAAGAGTGTTGTATTATCTTTTACTTTTGTTCAATTTGGTATTTTGAGTCTTAGTCTAGTTTGTTTAACTTTAAGATATTCTTGTTTTGTACTCCCTTCGATTCTTATTATAAATATTTTTAACTGAATCACACAGACCAATATAACTAGTTATGTTAATTATTGTGTTTATAAAACAAAATCATGTTATATCAATTTTACTCTTCTTATTATTAAATTTTCATACGAGGTGACATCAATATCAAAAAATTGATAAATGACAATTAGAGACCTTACAAGGTGAGAGAAAATATTTATTTCCCAAATTCTTTTCTCATTGTCTACCAATAAGAAACACATATTCTTATAATATTTAATAGAGACAAAAAATGAAAAATTAAATTAATATTTTATCAAAATTGTAAAATGTTTTATAAAAAATACCATCACTTCCTTCTAAATTGTCTTATAATAAAGATTAAATAAAATAATATTCATTAAGGATTTTTCCTGTTGCACCTAGGTATTTTTTATGTGGTTTATATTTTTTCATAGTTTCTCTTATGAGGTACAAATCAATTTGGGGTGTTAATTAAATTTTACAAATTAATAATACACAAGAATATTTATCTTCTCAATTTCAATTGTATCTAACCTTAAATGGAATTATCAATCAAATGTCATATGCTCATTACATCATAGCAAAATAGTGTTGCTGAATGAAAAGCCAAAACTTAATTGAAATGACATACACCTTCACTACAATGTTCCTCTCCACTTTCGGTGGATTATTTCTTATAAGATGCGATTTGATCATTTGTCCTCCATAGTTAGAGTTCATTCTCTATCTTGTACCATTAACATAACCTTTATCCTTGTTTATCTTTGTATCTTTGGTTACACTTGTTTTGTCCATGAACTTGCATCATGTAAAGATAAATCATCTATAAAAGTCTTTTAAATGTATTTTAAGTTAACTTCGTCTCCTAAAAGGATATCATTATTTTTTGTTAACTTCAATGTTTTCTAGTCTCTACTGACCTCACTTTCTTGGAGTCAAGGATATTGCTGATAAGAAAGGCATCAAGCTGCGGTTTTGTAATCTGAAGGAATGTGAAAGTCACATTCACAGTGTAGATAGCCCATGTGCAAATATACGGGTGGAGATAGGGTGGCCGCTTGGTGTTCCATTTGTTCATCCCCATGATTTACCTAATAAGGCAAAGCTGGGTTTTCTTGAAGCATATGAACCTGGTTGGACAGAAGCCCATCAAAACTCAGACAGGCTAGTCAACACTCGGCTAACTTTAACTGTAACTCTCCTTTTGCAAGTTTCATGTCCATATGCATATTCTACTTTTTATTTAAAACTGTTAAACGGTTGTAGCGTATCTAAAGCTAAGAATATGCATATTTTTTCAGGGTGATGAAAAGATTAAGGGAAGTTGAAGCTTAACATAAATAATTTATTCACATGGTTGTAATTTAACCAAATTCTCTTCATTACCCAGTCAATGTGTTCCATGCTACGATTATCAACATGAATAATGTTTAACACTTTTTATTTACATATCAAAAGAACCAGGGAGGTTTCCGATCCTTTGTCATATTGTCCTTTTGTCAGAGGGCTACAATCCTTTGTCACATGCTTTTGTATTTACTTAGTTGCTTAAGACTTGTAACAATGCCAATTTTCCTAGATATTGTATCCTTTCTTAACCTGGAGTGAACCAAATTGCCCCGAGTTATATACATCTCGATGTATGGAACAAAAATACCAGTACTGTAGGCTATGTAATGTGATGAGCATTTGAAATCCAGTTATGTAATGATCAATGGTTGATAGAAGATCCAGGACTGATGTTGTGGTAGTGTAACTGTTATATGCATTGCCTGGATTCTTGAATTGTGTAGAATAGTACTACTATGAGGCATTTGTTTCAGGTCTACTAATTAGCATCTGAGGATTTCACAATCTTATGTTAATTTATGACTAATTTAACAATTGAGTTTAACGAGTTATATTCATGTTTTGGTGTCTGCAGGAATCAGTCCCCCTGATTTCCAACATATGGGCAACATATGATCAGATTGTGAAGGTCTAATGAAGATAGGCCTATCTAGTTCCCAAGGGGCAGCTGAACCTGTATGTGGCTAGCTTTTAGAATTTTATGTTTGTCTATATATGCAACTTTTGAAGCATATGAATGAAAGAAATGTGCAGCGTTGAATTCTACAGGTGTTTTATTAATAGATTTCTTAGGATTATCAGACGCCAATCCAATCAAAATGAAGGGTAGGTTCAGCTCTAAAACTGATGGAGGTCTTGCTTGCCAGTATAAACCATATAAAATGAAGAGAAGATAATGATTTACAAATCAACAGAATAACTCCAAGCTTATTTCGATCATGAATATGCAAGAGTAATCTATTTTAACCGGTTGTTTATTAAGCACTGGTGTTCACGAGTATTTAAAAATAAGAAAGGTTTATATAATAATAAAAAAAAAATAAAGTTGTGGCGGGGCCACTTGTGAAATTAAAAATTAATGTTGATGAAATGCAGGGGCGTGAGATTACTTCATACTCATTTAATATAGTTTTAAAGTTGTTGGGATGGAGAGAAAATCTAACTAAGCAAGGTCTCCGGTATTAGAAAAGGTAAGAAAAATCAAAGGTTGTTAGCATCTAATCGCTTGTGCTTCTTAATTAAAGGATCTAAATTTGATCTTCGACATAGATGTGGAGTAGTCGTGACTAGAAGTTTTTATAGGAGAAAAAAAAGTTATTTTTTATATATATACAAAAAAAACATAGAAGAAAAGGCTTTAACAATTTCCGAGGGTTACTCTGGCCACTCATCAACTTGTGAAGTGATTTTAGCTAAACAAATTCACCTTGGGTATTACACCAAAATAAAAAGGAGTTTACTTGATCCTTTTCATATATTTTCAACTATCTTAACAATCGTCAAAGAATTTTTTCATAGGCCTTGGAAGGTTGATGGATCAATGTGCAGATTATCTGTCTAAGGCTTGGTTCTACTTCAAGAGTCTTGTTTCAACTTGTGCATAACATGTCTCGAGAGCTTCACATGTTTCTAAAGAGCGTAATCTTGTTACTTCTTTATTTTCTTTTATTTATTCCTTTGTATGTACCAAAAAAAAAACATATACCAAAATAAAACATGTTCTAATGACTCCTCTAAAGCTGGGCAACAAAAAGAAGCATGACCTATGGGAATTTTGCCATTAGTTAGTGCATTTGATAACTTGAAAGAGGACATGTGTTTGTTGGAATTGCTAGTGCAATATTATTTATGATTTTCTTTTTCTAACATTAGTTAAGTTTTATTACTTTTGTATAGTTAGATCTCATGAGATAAATTTCTTGTCTTGAATCAATTAAAAAAGTGTTCAAAATTGTATCACAATTTTAAAAACTAAAATCTCTTAAAAGATAAATGATAAAAACAAATTTTAATAATAAAATAATAGACCAAATTTAGATTTCAGCTGATATTTTCCACCATAAGCCAGATTTAGGATCTCCAACTACTGCAATACACTTTTGTATCCCTTGCACACTGCAAGACTAGCTAACTTTTGGTTTTTCCGATTCACTTTTTTGGCTTAAAAATCCCTCAAAAATCATATAATATGACGTTTTTAATTTTAAAAATTTATGCACAAAACGTTAAATAATTTGACACTTTCAAATTATTTGTATTCATGTATTGAACACGTCATATAGTGTGATGTTTTTTTTACTCTATAATCATACGTGTTCAAAATAATTTATCTCAGTAAAATATTTTTTAATTAATTTATTTCAATAATTATTTATTTATTATGGCCAAAAGGCCGTCTATTGGCTATTGCCCAATTTATTTTGAATTAAAATTTTATCTTAATAATATAAGAAAAAGTATATTATTAAAATTTAAATTAAAGATATATATTATTGAAATAAAATTCTAATCGATTGAAAAATAATATTAATTATATTTAATTTTTATTCTTTATAAGTCAAACTTAAATTTCTAGTGGTAGATTAGCTTCACTTGGTTTTATTCATTTACACCACTAATAATAGATGTAAATATTTTACTAAAAAAGTTAATAGATTTTATCTTAAAAACAAGTTTAAGGTAAAACTTAGTGCTAAATTTGTCAAGCTTGTTATTTTGGTTAAATTTTGTTTAAAATTATTATTTTTATATAACTTTAAAAGTAAATACCAAGATATTTAAATTAGATCAATAATTGAATGGGTTACAACGATATATATTTGTAGTTAATTGAATTCACAACAATTAAATTCTATTATTTTATTTTAATATGTTAAGACAATATATACAAAACAAAAATAACATAGTATTCATTATATTATAAATTAAATTTAAATTGTAAATATAAAAATTCACAACATATATAATATTTAAAATTAAACATAAGACTAAATCAAATGTCATCAACAACACATAATATGGTACCTTTGTAAAAGGAATGTAATATGGCCTACATGATGAATTGTGGTTGGGACCTCTGTACTCGTAGGGATGCTCTATGGGTTAAACTTATCCGGTGTAAGTATCGATGTAGGGAGTCTATTCTCCATATTATTAATTCGAACAAACCCGGTTCTAATTTGTGGAGAGGGATCTGTAATGTTTGGCATTATTTTCTTCAAGGGATTTCTTAAAATATTGGAGATTGGGAGTTGGTTTCATTTTGGAATGATAACTAAGTTCTAGGCTATGGTAAGCTGGTCGAGGAAGGTCATGTCATGCCCCTTGTGGAGAGTCTGCCAAAGAAGGTGTGTGAGTTTGTTGAAAGTAATTGTTATGACAATATGGAAAAGAAAGAGATCAAGAGAAAGAAGACGCCACACAAATTACGTGGTTCAGTCAGTGTGACTTGCGTCCACGGGCAGTTCAAGAGTTTCTTATTTCTGAATGAATAGAGATGATAATACAGACTTCTTTTAGCCTTATAACAAGGATAAAATATAACAGTCTCATTACAACTCAAATAAAGATAGAAATAGTAACAGACAAAATATAAATTCAAGACATATCAACAATTCTCCACCTTGACTTGAATTTTCCCAAGTCACCAGTAACCAAGAACAACTCTCTTGCCTATTATCCCCGAAGGGTCTCAAGCGATACAAACATTTACCAAGTCCAAGCTATGCTTAAACTTTTCAAAAGATAAAGGTTTAGTCAACATATCTACTGGATTGTCTACAGTAGCTATCTTTTCTATGGAGAACAATTTGTCTTCAATTACATCTCGTATGAAATTCAATCTGACATCAATATGCTTTGATCTTTCATGATAGACTGGATTTTTTGCTAAACACAAAGCACTTTGAGTATCACAATAAAGTATACGGCTCTGCACATTCAAACCTAAACTATCAATAAGACCTTGCAACCATATACCTTCTTTAACCCCTTCTGTCAAGGACATGTATTCCGCTTCAGTGGTAGACAAAGCAACAGTAGGTTGAAGTGTTGCTTTCCAACTTACAGCACAACCATAAAGAGTGAAAATATAACATGTCAAAGATCTTCTCCTCACGAGATCTCCACCATAGTCAGAATCTGCATAGCCAATAAGATCACACCCAATATCATTAGAACCATAAACTAAGCAAATATTACTAGTACCTTTCAAATATCGCATAATCCACTTCACAACCTCCCAGTGAACCTTTCCAGGATTACTCATAAATCTACTAACCACACTCACAGCATGAGCCAAATCTGGTCTTGTACAAACCATGACATACATTAAGCTCCCAACAGCATAGAATAAGGAACCGTATTCATATACTCCTTCTCTTCATCAGTACTAGGAAGAGTGCTAGCATCAAGTTCAAAATGTGTTGCCAAAGGAGTACTAACAGGCTTAGTATTCTCCATTTGAAAAGACTGCAACAACTTTTCAATGTATTTCTTCTGAGATACATAAAGTAGACCTGCATTCCTGTCTCTCCAAATCTCCATTCCTAAAATTTTCTTGGCATCACCCAAATCCTTCATCTCAAACTCACTACTCAACATAGTTTTAAGAGCATCAATATCAGTCTTGCTCTTAGCTGCAATTAGCATGTCATCCACATACAACAACAAATATATATAGGAACCATCTGATAGCTTCCTACTATAAACACAGTTATCTAACTCATTTCGAACAAAATTATAGGAAATCATAAAAGCATCAAACCTCTTGTACCACTACCTCGGACTCTGTTTTAAACCATACAAGGATTTTTTCAGCAAACACACATGGTTCTCTTTTCCGGCCTCAAGGAATCCATCTAGCTGTGACATGTAAATCTTCTCTTCTAAATTTCCATGCAAGAATGCAGTTTTCACGTCAAACTGCTCTAACTCCATATCCAAAGCACTCACCATAGCCAACAGAACTCGAATAGTCTTATGTTTTACCACAGGCGAGAACACTTCATGGTAGTCAATTCCCTTTTTTTGTGAAAAACCTTTTGCCACAAGTCTTGCCTTGAACCCGGATGGTTCAACACCAGGAATCCCTTCTTTCCTTTTTAACACCCATTTGCATCCCACTAGCTTCACACCTCTAGGTAATGGTACTAACTCCTAGGTTTGATTTTTCTTAAGTGACTGCATCTCCTCATCCATGGCAATTAGCCATTTCGATGCTTCTTTACTTTGAATTGCCTCCTTATAGGATTTAGGCTCATCAGAATCAAGATTTTCTCCAACTACCAAGGCATATGCAACAGAGTTAGTATCAACAAATTAGTAACATCTGCATACCTCGTAGGTTTTCTGATTTCCCTCCTTGTTCTCCTTGTTGCTATGCTTTGAAGCTCTTCTTGAACATTACTGGATTGTTCCACAGGATTCAAATTTTCTTTATTTGAATCTTCAACCTCAAGCTCCACTTTTTGATGAACTCCCTTATTTGTACTTTTATTTCCTGCAAGATTTTTAACCTCCTCTTTCTGGCCAATTATAGCAGACTCATTAAAAGTAACATCTTTGCTAATAACAAATTTTTTTGTTCTGTTATTTTCAGTACATCATAATCTATATCCTTTGACACCCATAGGATACCCAAGAAATATACATTTCATTTCCCTAGGCTCTAATTTACCATCATTAACATGAGCATAAGCAGGACAACCAAATATACGTAAGCCAGAATAATCAGAAGGTTTACCAGACCATCCCCCCTAAGGAGTCTTTAAGTCAATTGCAGTAGATGGAGACCTGTTCACCAAATAGGCAGCAATATTAACTGCTTCAGCCCATAATTCTTTTGAGAGACCAGCATTTAAACGCAAGCACCGAGCACGTTGAAGTAGTGTTTGATTCATTCGTTCAGCAACGCCATTCTGTTGTGGTTTATGTCTCACTGTGAGGTGCCTGACTATACCTGCTTCTTTACAGTAATCATCAAATAATGCATTGCAGAACTCCAGTCCATTATCTGTTCTTAGAGTCTTGACTAATTTTCCGGTTCGTTTCTCAACCATAGTCTTCCACTCATTGAAATGCCCAAACACTTCATCCTTGGATTCAAAAAATACACCCAAACCTTTCTAGAGTAGTCATCAATAAACGTCACAAAATACCTGCTTCTTCCATGGGTTTACCCATAACACAAGATTCACAGAACTTCAATTTCCCTGTCATTGCTCCACTTAACAGTCCTTGTTTACTTAAAACTACAAGTCCACGCTCACTCATATGTCCTAACCTACAATGCCATAATTTTGTATTATCAACATGTTGCTCTAAGGAATGAGATCTAGACACCGTTCCCTGAAAGGAATTGCCAAGCATAACATAAATATCATGTTGTAACTTTCCTTTCATAACAACCAGAGCACCTTTAGAAACTGTAATCTGTCCATCATTTCCTGAAAAACTGTACCCTTGTTTATCTAAGGTACCCATAGAAATCAGGTTCTTCCGTAAGCTAGGAACATACCAAGCATCAAACGTTCTGACCATGCCATCATACATTTTTATTTGTATAGCACCACTACCTTTTACTCCAAGCTCTTCATCATCACCTAACTTTACACTACCATTCCATTCTTTAAATGAATTGAATAGATTCTTGTTAAAAGTCATGTGATAAGAAGCTCTAGTATCCATGACCCATGTATCAGCAAAACCAGTAGTACTAACAGTCAAAACATCTCCGCCATCTCTTTCATCTAAACTCTCACCAGAGACAGTTGCACTAGAACGAACAACAGCTGCACTGGCATTACTATTTCTATCTTTCTTTAGTTGTGGACAATTCTTCCTTACGTGCCCCACCTCTTTACATTTGTAACATCTCACTTTCTTTGACTTTGAAAGTGAATTACTACGTGTATGACCCTTGCTACTATTTCCTCTCTCCATGCTTATGCCTCTGCTAACTGTCAGACCTACATCATCCACATTAGAACTAGAGACTACTCTTCTCTTCAATTCTTTAGATTGTAAGCTGTCGTTCACATTGTTGAGAGTAATACTATCCCTGCCATACAACATAGTATCAATAAAATTCTCATGATTTTGGCAAAGAGCATAACAAAATAATAACTAGATCCTCATCATCAACTTTAACTCCAATACTCTGTAGGTCCAAGATAAATCGGTTAAAATTATCAAGATGATCTCTCACAAACATATTCTCAGACATATGCAAGGTATAGAGACGTTGCTTCTGATACAACCGATTGGTTAGGGATTTCTTCTGATATTTATCTTCCAACATCTTCCACATCCCTGTAGTCGTTGTCTCTTCACCTACCTCTCACAGAACCTCATCAGTCAAACTCAAGAAATCAAACTGTGCGCCTTTTCCAACATCGCTTTCTTTACATCATCAGTCATAGTCGTGGGTACACTACTACAAGATGCATATTCTACATCGGTTCTCTAAAGGTATCTACATCGGTTCTAAAACCAATATATAATAGAGCGACGTAGAAAATGTATACATTTTTACATTGGTTCTAAAAAATCGATGTAGATTTAAGCATAAATCTACATCGTTTCTCTAGACAACTGATGTAGATTTAAGAATAAATCTACATCAGTTCTCTGGAGAACTGATGTAGATTTATGCTTAAATCTACATTGGTTTTCTTGAGAACCAATGTAGATTGCATTTAAAAAAAAACATGCTTATTTTTTAATTATTTCTGATTACCTGTAATGAACATATATATATAGCTCTAGACAAAATAATTATCATTCCCAACTGAAGTGAAACCACAAATCTGGCCATTCCCAAACAACATGATGTAGCATAAATTTTTGCAAATACTCTAGACCAGATAAACAAATGGTACCAAAGAAATAAATAAAAAATATTGTTTCAATACAGCAATTGCATTCCTCAAATTTACTCAAACCAAAAATGCGAGCATCAGTTCCTGTTAAGGAAATGCTTAAAATGTATCCAGAAAATCCCCTACGCACCCCACAAAAAAAAAAAGCTAGCATTCAAGCCAGAATGAAGGAACTTTTATTCTCTTACATGGAAACAAGGCAACAAGAAAAAAAAAATCTAAATTCCAAGACATATTAACAAGACATTCAATTTATAAAGAGACAAATGAACCCAAACCCAATTACACCAGGTACTCACTCACCCATCAATTGGGTTGCTGGTTGTAGTCAACTTCACAGGATGCAAAGGGTGTGCCACTGAAACCCAAAATCTATGACAGAGCAAACAAATCCTTTAATGGTAAACCTTGACCAAATCCTCTATTTCCAATCTACTTCCACATAGACAGCGAATCTTTGCATCTGGTTGAAAGGAATCATCAAATTCACCTTTAACTTTTACATCAAATTCTCCTTTAACTTTTACACTACTGCTATCTGATGCACCCTGCCCCTTGGATGCTAGATCAGTGGCCCCAGATATCTGCATTTTCCTGGGTAAAAGGAGATACAAGAATGCCAATAAAGATAACAAAGCCAACGACAAGAAACACATCATATATGAAGCAGTATAATCAACTTAAACCAGACCTAATAGTAAGGTGCCAGATCATTTATGTGAAATCAGCCAAGTAAGTTACGTCACTGCATGCATCTGAACCATACCAAAGCTAGAAGAAAATATTATCAAGAGTGTTGTTGCTAACACTTACCTATATGTATCATCCACTAATTTGGCCACCTGTTCTTTTCCCACAAAATTTAATTATAATAACTTCTTTCACTGATATCTTTCAATTTTATATTTATATTGAAGGGTAAATCTCTGTATTGCAAATAGTAATTAAGATATTAGAAATTATAAAATATGTTAAAAGTTCCTACTAATTGAGGATCTGTCTTTCAATTTTATATGTAAGAAAACTTACTATGCTTGCCAAAAAAACCCAACAAGTTCACCAAGACAAATGACCACAACCCAGTACCTAACCCAATTTTCCTTTTTTTCCACTTTGGGTGTTGGTGGGGCGGGGAAGGCCAGCAAGGTTGTGAATGGGTTTGGTTCACTTCGGTCTTCGGGTGTAGAGGGATTTGCCAGCCTCCAATTTTTCTCTCTTATTTTACACACCATATGTACCACAACATTCATACTACAACTTATTGAATTTATATTATTACATCACATTTAATTAACTTACTACATTTTAATTTTAATAATATAAGATACGATTACTTAAATATAAGATACGATTACTATATTATTAAATTTAAGATATATTTTGTTATATTAATGGATAAATCAACTTTAATGAGAAAAAATATAAGATACGATTACTTAAATATAAGATAATAGTATTGTTGATGCTCTTAGACATCGCTGCAAACGTAATTTTTTATTGATAAAAAAAAACTTGTTCTTGTCTATGTGTGTGCTGCATGTTGTGCTCACACTCAAATTAAAAATTCACCCCTTATAAAAATAAAAATAAAAATTCAGCCATTCATCCTGCATAGGTTGAGTATTTGTTCCTTTTTCGAACAATTTTCTTACCTTAAATAAAATGTATAACAACTCAATATGTTTAAGACAAATTTAGAAAAACTCATAAAGTTATTACAGTAAAAGATTTCTTAAATAAATGCATTATGATCCAATGAACTATGCCCACAAAATGTCCATTCATTTCCAGAAAAGATAGAACATGGCAAGCCAGCTTCTAACATAAAAAGTTAGAGAAGAGGGAAATAACAGAAATTTGGGATACAAATGCATGCCCAGGGAAAAAAAAGCAACTCAAATTTATCAATCTACAAGGAGAGTTTACATTGGAGCAAATGAAAAAAACATGCCCTTATTTCAAGAATTCCATTTAAATTATCATTACAATTACTATGATTGACAATTTCAACAACATGTTGATAGACAAATGGAAAAAATTTGCAGCTATGCTCAGTTTAGTTAAGAATTCAAATATTAAATTCTACACACATTTCCATATGTGAACATTGTCTAAAGTCTAAACTTCCAGTATATAGTCATGATGACAGCTCAAACAGAAACATTGTGAAAATAAAACAGATGGATATGACAGAATACCCAAATACCGAGTAATGTGTCTATGCATGTATACAATTTTACCTTGTTCATCTAAGAGAACGAATAATATGCACTGACATCAATATATCATCCAAAACCTCGAAGACGTCATACTAAATTCAGGATTAAAAAGGAAACAATACATGGAGTCCAAACCAAAGATATTACAACAATGAAATGAAACTTCATGTCATAAATTGACTGTATTCATCCATTTTAAGAGTTGCAAACTCGTATTATTAAGCACTAAGTATGATGTCTAATCATACAAGATCCATATATAATAATCCACATTGTATGTTACATGATGAGAAAACTCAGTGGGTGTTTGGATGCGCGTTGCATCAGGCTAACGCACGTATTTTCTTCCAAAAACGTGATTCTTCTCTTTGAATAGATATTTGGATTTTTCTTCTTTACACAATTTCAAGGGTGAAAATCAATTTTGCCTGAAACTGATAAAAATAGCTTCTACATTTAGAAAATTGATTTTTATAAATCAATTCTTAAAACGCAACACCAAACACACGCTCAGGAAAAAATGATTAACTAATTAAGGAAGAAACAGTGATTCTCATGGTCAACAAAACAATAATCAGGCAATAAATTACATTCAGCACTCAAGGTTTTTCCATTGAAAAAGCCTCACAAATAACAATGACAAACTTGGTAATAGTTTTATTATCTCACCTGCTTCTTTCCCTGCTTTGAAAGTTGTAACTGAGTGAGCACATCTTTTAGCTCTTTTATACGGAAATAGTTCAATTTTTCCTACAAGAGATGTCAAAAAATTAGGAAAGTAGAATAGCACACCCCTCGATTAATACAACAGTGCACCAAACCCAATATTAAAATAAATAAAATATGCCTCTGATCCATATTCCACAGTACAGGCTGATCAAAATCCAATAACAAAAGTACCCAGCCATCCAATCACATTGCCCACAAAGTACCCAATCATAACATAATCACAACATAAATAACATCAGTAGTAACAATCACACAAAAAATAAAACCAGTACTGAACACCGTGATTAACATTTAAGCATTAAGATATACAAAATAAATAAATAAATGCTACAAATCCAACCAATCAAACCAAGCACACACTATAGTTTTCCAGTAAAAAAGGTCTTGCAACCAAATCAAATTTCAATTAAACATAAACAATTTCCTTGCTCTTCCAGCCGGTTTAATCCCTAAACCTCAAGCACTGATGATCACCATAAAAATCGTATGCGTTTTCTGCATCAATGGCAAAGTCAATTCAACTTACACATATACAACTATTTTATGATTAACACCCAAACACCAATTTTAAAGTAGATGTATAAACCTAGAAAACAACTCAACTTACACATGGAATCTGTCGCTTTCCAGCAATGGTGTCATTGAATGAAATCAAGTTTTCACATAATCAACCCCGCCACGCTTTCTTTTGTTAGACTTCGAAAAGAAACATATCTGAGCCTAAGTGGTTGTGATTTAACATCCTTCTTTTCCCTCTTCTCCACAAGCTCAGCCATGTACTGGACAACAACCTAGGATGCACCAACACATGAAAATTGAGATTAAATAAACAGAAAGCTCTTATTTAAAATACCAAAGGAACAACATCAAACAAGAAAACCAAAAGGGCAGTTTACCTGTGCTCCCTTGTCAGCTATATCTCTCGGCGGAACTTCAAGAGGATTCTCTTCTGCTCATCGATATCATTGGTTTCCACATTCAATATTCTTAGGCTAACAAGTGACCTCGTCATGAGCGAAGTGTAGGTGACCTTGTCGGGGAAGAAGCCCTTCTCCGCCATGACACGCAAAAGCTTCTTGCCCTCGGAAACCCTCCCGGACTTGGACAGGGCGAAGATCAAGGTGTTGTAGGTGACGAGGTCAGGTCCCACGCCTTGCTCCTTCATCTTGTTGTAAACCTTGATGGCCTTGCTCCCCCAGCTGAGGCGTGGTCGAGGCAGGAGGCGGAGCAGAGGACGCTGATGGCGATGTCGGCGGTGGCGGCGTCGGGGGCGAGGCCGGAGGAGAGCATGAGGTTTAGGGTTTGGTGGATGGGGGAGAGGGATTGGGAGTGGGATTGGTGGGAGAGGAGGATGTGGAAGGTGGAGCGGTCGGGGGAGAAGGAGGGGAGGGTTTGGGTGATGTGGCGGAGGAAGGCGAGGGAGTCGGAGGGGGAGGCGGCGACGGCGGCGTAGGAGAGGAGGGAGTTGGGGAAACGGGGGTCGGAGGAGGAGGAGAGGGAGGTGGCGATGGAATCGAAGAGGAAGAGGGTTTGGAGATTTGAAGAAAGGGGGAGGGGGTTGTTGATCAGTGAAAATTAGGCTCTCATTTCTACATCGGTCATAAGCAAAACCGATGTAGAACAACTCCCAGATTTCATTTTTACATCGGTCATAAGAAAAATCGATGTAAATATGTTTATATTTTTTATTTATTTACAAGTTTGCCACCGTATTTATGATTTATATCGGTTCTACTAGAACCGATGTAAATATGGCGATGTTAAACAGTTTTTTTTATAGTAGTGGTAATTTATCTGCACCCTCCAGTGCTGCAACGCAACCCTGATGCACAAGAAGTGCTTTCATCTTCAATTTCCACAGAGTGAAATCATTTGATCCATTGAATTTATCAATATCGAATTTGTACGAAGACATTGCGATTCTTCAGATCAGGCCCTAGCGTAACCTAGAGCTCTGATACCAATTGTTATGACAATATGTAAAAGAAAGAGATCAAGAGAAAGAAGACGACACACAAATTACGTGGTTCAGTCAGTGTGACCTACGTCCACGGGCAGTTCAAGAGTTTCTTATTTCTGAATGAATAGAGATGATACAGATCTCTTTTAACCTTATAACAGGGATAAAATATAATAACCTCATTACAACTCAAATAAAGATAGAAATAGTAACGGACAAAATATAAATTCAAGGCATATCAACAGTAATGATGATCAGATTTTTATAGCCCTTAGGCCTTACCTTTCCACGGAAGTGTTGAATGTTATTCGAGCTATTCCCCCTCCTCTTGCATCTCGAGGAGTTGATTCTTTGACTTGGAGAGGAGCAAGCACCGATGAATTTTATATTAGTTCAGCATATGGTAATATTACTCAAGAGTGTGTAGGTGGAAATGATTTGTTATTTGAAAGGATTCGGTGCTGGCCTGGGCCAGAAAGGGTCCGTTTATTACTATGGAAAATTGATGCTAATGCATTACTCACTAATGATATCAGGCGAGCTAGGCACATGACAACAGATGTTTCATGCATGAGATGCGGGGATGATGTGGAATCTGTGGATCCCGTGTTTCGAACGTGTGCAATTTCCAGGGCTATATGGTATTTGTTGCTACCTGGATCAAAACATTGGGATTTCTTTTGTATGGATACTAAACATTGGTTGCTGTCAAATCTCAATGATAAGGCTCTATTTGCTGGTCGTGAATGGTGCTTGATCTTTGCTGTTACTTTGGATATCCTATGGCAGTATAGGAATAGGGTCACCTTTCAAGGCTCTTCTTCTCAGCCTTAGGAACTGGTTTCCCGAATTCTTGCCCAGGTGGATATCTTACATGATAGTATACCCTTGTTTAGGTGTCAAACCATTGCAACAACTAATAGGAGGGATCAACAGGTAGTATCTTGGGTACCTCCACCTGTTGGGATATATAAGCTGAATTGTGATGCCTTGGTTAGCCTTAAAGACAAGAGTGTTGCAGCTGGAGGTGTATGCCGTGACCATGGTGGGACAATTATCTTTTCCTTGTAGAAAAAAAAATAAGAGAGACGAGGTAATACTAATGTATGTATTATGGTTGGTTTTATACATGCTAACCCTTATATTTTCATGATATGGACTGTGATGATCTCACTATGTGGGGAGCAGATCAGGTGAGAGGCTTTGGGATGGCAAGAAGTCTTTCGGTAGTTGCTCTAAGAAGTGGCTAGATTTAGAGCTTGACCAGCACCTAGGGTGTCTTATTTTGATATTTTCATGATATTGTAACTATATTATCTTTTTGGATGACTGTATAACCTTACTGATGATAACCCTCTTATAACATTACGTTTTATATGATGAAAACAATTTATACGTTTTAAAACTATTTTAACTCTAGGGTAGCTGGCATTTGCTCTCTTTTCTTTATATTTTATTATTTATTTTGAGTTATTCAGTTAGTTGTTGATGTGACGCCCTAAGGCAGGTTGTTACATTAGCACCCTCAGCTGTCGATGCATTCTCACGCATCTAGGTATACTCACTTGTCACCCTCGATTGTTGATGTGCTCTCACACATCTAAACACCTATTTGGCACCCCTTAGCAACCAATGCATTCCCTTGCATCTATGTGTGCTTATTCAGTACCCTCTATAACAACCCAAAATTGCTGGGCCAGAGGCCTAATTGATTGCCCGGAACGGGCCGTTTCAAAAGTGAAACGGGCCGTTCCGGAATAAGAAAAATGCCCAAAATTGGAGAAGCAGAACGGGTCGTTCTGGTATGGAGAAGGGCCGTTCTGGTGGGAGAACGGGCCGTTCTGCTAGGATTGAGAACGGGCCGTTTTGGTTTTGGAACGGGCCGTTCCAGTTGATAATTTTGTGTAGTTTCGAAGGGTCCAGAACGGCCGTTCCACTTTTGGAACGGGCCGTTCCGGTAGGTGAGCCTGAAATCCTATAAATAGCGCCCCTCACCTGTCATTTTCACACATCTCTCATTCTCTCTTCCTATTATCTTCTGTTCTCTCTTCTTTCCCTCTTCTTCTCTCTCAAGACCAAGGGGCATTTAGAGGAGGAGACCAAAAGATCCCTGTTTTAGTTCAACTGTTGTTTATCCAGGTACGGAGGAAAAGGGGATTATTTATATGTAGAGTTACATGAGGGAATTGGGTAGAGGAAGAACCCTAATTTTATAATTATTTCTGTTTAGAGAATTCTTTGTTTTATGTGATTATGTATGAATTTAGGATTATGAATATATATTTTATTTGTAAAAATGATGCTTTGGGAGAGAGAACGAAATTATAGAAAAGTGTCTATAAGTAAGATTTTAAAAAAATTGGACTATTTCTGTTTGAGAAATTGAGGATCCCATTAGATTCTGTATGTGTTAAGGATTAGAAATATATATTTAATTTGTAAGAATGATGATTTGAGAGGGAGAACGAAACTGTAGAAAAGTGCCTGTGAGCTAGGTTTTGGAACAATTGGGGGTTTTACCGTTATGTTGAAGTTATATTAAATTGGTAATTCCGTTGATTATTATATTAATTTATGAATGTTATTGTTATATTACTTGTTAAAAATTGATAATCTAGATGTGAATTGCTTGAGGGGTGTGTAAACCCTTATTTTGTTAGACTTATACAAAAGATATTATAGTAATTTAATTTAGTTTTAAATAAAAATAAAATATTTTCTCTCTCTTATTAACTTTATTCTCTAAGTCATTTCTCTTTCCTATTAAATTCCTTCTCCAACTCATTTATTTTTCCTATTAAATTTTTTCTCTAACTTATTTATCTCTCTCATATTAAATTCCGTCTTTAACTCATTTCTCATCACTCATGATGTCTCCCCCCTAACAAATAAAAATTAAAAAATTAACTAATAGAAAAAAATAAATGAATTGGAGAATTAAGTTAATAAGATAGAGAAAATATTTTATTTTCATTTAAAATTAAATTAAATTACTATAATATCCCTTATACAAATTAACCAAATCAAAAGAAATGAGTGATTTTTTTGTCTTAAAATTTTGGTGTAGATTGCTAACATACTCCCACTAAAAAATAAGTGAGAGTATATTAGCATTCCCTTATTTATATAATATATTATGAGTTAATCACCTATACATTGTTAATATAAATTTTTTTTTATACTGACAACCAATTATATCTTATAATTCTGTCATGTCACTATAAACACATTTACTTTTAATAGTAACATGACACAATTAAAAAATATAATTAATTATTAGTGTAAAAAACTTTATACTAGTAATATATAGATGATTAACTCATATATTATATATGTAATGTTCACATATCTCATATTTCATTGATTTTATCATATTTTCGTATCTTTTATTGTGTCCAAATCCACGTTACATAGATCAAAAGTTTGTCAATTTTTTAGCCAATTTAAATAGACACCTACTTAATGTATAAATCAAATTTATAATTTTTTTTAAATATTTAAAAACTTATTTAATATTTTGTTATATTATAACAATCCAGTAGGTTACTATACTTAGTATAACACAATTATATATGCAATGAAAAAACTAACAATGTTCAACCGTTCTAAAGTTATCATACAATAGTTCTAAGTAATTAATACAACTTTATACATGTATAGGGGCAAAAAAAAAATTCCTACATATATGACCAAAAAGATAACTCCCTTTATGGGTTCATATATATATATATATATACTTAAATTATACAACTATATACAAACGATTCTGGTCATTGATCAATTGTCTATACTCAAACATGTTACATTATAATAACATCACCAAAACTAGGCTACCACTAACGTGACCTTCAACCAACTAACCAAACTATCTTGTTAATTCTGTCATACTTCCATACTAAATATGATCATTATAATTTTAACCACAAAAGAGAGTAAGCTTATGAAAGAATTAATAAATCATTTAATAACATAAGTTTACAATTATAAAACATGAACATCATAACATTCAATATCACACAATTTAACAATTTTCAACACCAACAATGTTATCAACATAAATATATTAAACAACTAATACGTCATCATGGATATCCTTATCATTAAAATTAGTTAAATGAAAGAAAATATGAAAATAAAATAAATATATTTTTAAATGTTAAAAATTTAAAAATAAAAGCTGGTTTAGGAAAATGAAAATAGATTTTCTTAAACCAAGGAGATCTTAATGTTGTCAACTTCGAATTCTTAAGAAACTAAAAATATTTAGATGTGTCAACCGACTAATCGTCTTTTTTTTTTTTTTTTTCACAAATCATATATAAAGTAAATTTGTTATTTTTTTTTATTAAATCTCAAAATGAGAAATTGCACTTTTGATTTTATTTCATTCCTCTGGTTATTGTCTTTTGATTTTCGTGCATTGCAATATGCAACTAGTTTAGATCAAAAAGCTAAAAAGGACTCCTTTTATACTGATTTTATTACTATTTTTTTGTTTGGCACTCAACAGATCCTTCTGCTTCAAGAAAATTAGAGAAGTTGTATTTTCATTTTAATTCCTTGACGGGAAGTCTTCCAGAATCAATTGGGGCTCTTACCTCTTTGACATACTTGAACTTTTACGTCAATCAATTGAATGGCCCGTTACCATGGAAAGGTAATTTGATAATTAAATATTAGTTGAATATTGTTTTCATAAGTTTTCTTTTCATTATTGTGAAACTCAATCATTTTTTATTACTAAATTTTATATCATCACTAATTAGGAGGTCTCACTGTTGTTTTGTACGAGGTGTATTTAGATAAATTTTTCTAAAATAATTCCTAAGAAGAATTAAATTTATTTATATATATATTTTTTATTAATATTCTAAGATTTCATTTTAGACTAATCTAATTCAGTCGAGAAGTAAATAAAACTTGATCAAGAATCAAACTCGAACACTGTCTACGACTTTGAGTTCAACAAATTAAGCATTTGTGTCCAATTTTTTTTTAATTGAAGGGACACAAACCTCAACATAAAATAATTAGAAACCACATAGGTAAAGAATACCAACTACATCAACTTGAGCAACCAAAGTAAAGAAAGGTAACATCAAAAATACAACTATCAACATTTAAAGATAAACCAAACATAACTAACTTGTCTGTGACTTACTTTGCTTCACAAAGAACATGAGACCAAGAAAGTCCTCCACCAACCTGATTAGAAGAAGTGATACTTTACACAAACCTAAAATAAGAGTGGTAAGAAGCATATCCCTCCTTCAACAGTGAGAAAGTTGTAGTCATGTCTAACTCCACAATGAACTTTTGAAACCTCTATTCCAAGCAATAGTGATACCAATATGAATTGTCCATAACTCAACAAGTAACACTAAACAATAACCAATATTTGTTGCAAATAAAAACAAAATATGTCCTGAATGATTTCAGAATGTACCATCCATTGATGCTTTCAAATCACAAATTGAAGCATCACAATTAATTTTAAAGCTGCTAGGTGGAGAGGCTCCCACCTAATGTGCTTCTGAATCACATGTCTAGTTGAGATTTTGCAACCTGAAACCAGTAAACAATTAATATCAATAGCATCCACTCTAGCCAAAATACGTAATTTAAGTGTAAGAGGCTCAAAAGAAACACCTTGAAAAATAAAATCAATTCTACAATGCCAAAGAATATATAAGGTCATTCCAAAAACTAACATCCACCGTCTATTTTGCACAATAGAATCATCAGTCAAATTAAAGAGGAGTCAATTTGAATAATCTTGATTAAAAAACAAAGAATACTGCCTCCCAACAAGGACTAAGTACCAAAGGGCCCTAGTAGGAGGACAAAATCTTAACAAATGATCCGCATTCTCAACGATATCACCACACTTCAAACAAGTAGAATCATCTGTCAAATGTTTGTCAAGTCTTACTACATTCTTCAACAAAGCATTATTGACAACCTTCCATAAGAACATACGCACCCTTTTCGAACCAGGCCAACACTAGACAACCACAAACAGTAGATCCTTATCAAGGCCAGTGCCGTAAGAGGGCAAGCATAAACATAAGAAACATAAAAATTATCATTTAGTGCATTTTTCCAAGAAATAGTATCAAGACCTCTCGCAATATTAGGGGGCAGAATAACACAAATACAGTCCAAAATAGAATTCTCAAAGAAATTCCGCTCAAGGAAATTCTGCAAAATGGAAAAATCACAGTCACTTGGTACAAGATCATTCACTTTATTTGAACACATATTGGAAGGGATAGGACAAATGACTTTAGTACTCAAAGATCCTATTCCATGAATCCATTTATCAAATCCACCAACTCATCATTACCAATATTCCAAACCAAAAACTATTTTACATGAGTCCAACAATTACAGATTCCCTTCCAAAAATTTGATCCTTGTTGATTTTCATTCACTAAGGTGAGAATAGAATCTCCACAATGATACTTTGCTCAGACTACTTAAACCCATAAAGAATCATGACTCAAGCACAAATCCTAGCTACACTTCATTAGAAATGCCTAATTAGCCTTCCTAACTTTTCTTAACCCCAAACCACCTATAGACTTAAGCTTACATATGTTCCTCTAGGCCATTGTGTGAATCTTCCTATTTGACTTCGAGTCCCCCCATAAAAAACTCTTACACTTCTTATCCACCTCATCATAAATAAATAGAGGTAGATTGGTAGCTTGCATGGGAAGGAATTTCCAGCAACACCAATTTAACCAACATTAGTCTACCCACAAAAGATAGCTTTGTTGTTTTTTAGTTGGACAACTTCTGATTGACTTTGTTCATAATAAAGTTACAAGATTCTATATAAATTCTCTTATAAAGAATTGGGATCCCCAAATATTTCCCTAAGTCTCTCGTAAGTTGAAAACCTAAAGCATGGCTGATATGTTGTCTTCGATTCCAACTTACATTGTTTGAGAAAAATACATGAGTCTTATCCCTATTAACCTTCTGACCTGAGCTTCTACAGAAACACTCAAGGATCCTAGTGATGATACCAGCTTACTCTTCACTTGCTTCAGCAAAGAGACATAAATCATTCGCGAAAGCCAAATAAGAATGCTTAGGGGTGTTTCTCGCTATAAGAATGGGCTTTTTTTTGTTGGGCCACACTCTTGAGGGAAGTACTAGGCCCACTAACCAGTGACCCACTAGAAGACTCCTTAGCCTTAAAAACCAAATCCTCTTTCGAATAATCCGTGAGACTCTTAAAACGAGACTCACCTCTAGCAACAAAACCTGCATCATGTGACGACCTGGCTATATTATAATATACCATATTATTAAGAGCTTTAAATGGAGCCTTTTGAGAGAATCTATTTGATTGGCATTTCACCAACATCCACGAGCCATAATCATTATCATTAAGGGCCTTCAAAACTATTTCCTCAACATTAGACGATGGTTTTGCGTCATTCAAATTTTTAGGCACTACAGCAACAACCACAGTGGCACCAGCACCACCAGCCTCCTCTACCATGGCATTCGTCCTTGGTGTAGAGACAACTATATTTGTATCCAAATGCTCCTTAGGTACCTCTACATTTCTTGCTCGACAAGAATGTTCCTTATGGCCATATTTTTTCAAAAGAAACATATAGAGTGCATACCCTCATACTAAATGTTAAGGAAATAACCTGTAGCATTGACCTTAGGAAGAAGGGGTTTATCTAAGTCCATCTCCACACAAATCTGTGAAAATTAACCTCTCGCTTGAATAGCAATAACTATATCAATCTTCAACATGGAACCCAATGTCAAACCCAAATGCCAAAGGAATTGATCATTAAACAGTTTAATAGGAAGCTTTGGAATTCTAATCCATACAACAACTTTACGAGCAATAGTAGGATTTGCTAAGAAAAAAGGCCTCCAACGTTATACTAGAATATAATAATCTGTCACCATCCACGGTCCTTCCATCAGAACATGATTATAGTCATCATCCAATGTAAATAAAACTTGATAGTAATCAAAAGGAACATCAATAATTTTTATAGCACCTTTCCACACCCATGAACGGGTAAGTTAGGCTTCAAGTTGTCTAACACCTACTTTTGTTCCTAGAACAATGACCATTAAAGAACCCTTCCATGGTTTACAACAGTTTGTAAATTCATCATCAAAAATTGGAATCTATGGAAATTTAACTTTATCTTCATTAGAAATAGGAGGGAATATCCTCATCCAGTTGGCCAAAACATCTACTATCAAACGGGGAGAAAGGAACAAGCCCGCCATGTTGCAGAAGTTTTCCCATATAGGAATTATCCTCCAAAGTCATCTACTTTTCCAACTCTTTAACTACACCACCCTTAGCCACCGCCCACTAGCCTTACGTTTCACTTTCCTTATACTACTATGAAGAAGATCTTCCTATTCTTTGGAAGGATTAGCATAAACCCTAGCAAAACTGTCATAGAATTTTATCACTCCTTTCTCGAAAATTTTATTTCTTATGTTCAACTCTTTGGTTATATAAACTAATTTTAACTTATAAAACTTTTTTCATTCATTTTTTCTGTGGGAAATTTGTTTTTGAATTGAAACTATGTTAATAAAGAAATGTAACATATGACAAGAGGGTTATGCAAGCTAAAGAGTCCCCAAGCCTTGAATCTCGGGACAAACCATTTTGTGGGACATCTTCCATCGTGTCTCGCCAATTTTTCTTCATTTCGTGTATTTGATGTTTCACAGAACAATTTTGAAGGAACCTTCCCCTTTTCTCTCATATATAATCTCAAGTCGCTCGCCTATGTCTCTCTCAATGATAACCATTTTAAGGGCACACTTTCATTCAGCTTGCTTGCTAACCATTCTGACCTTCAAGTTCTTGATATTGGAAGCTATAACCAACAGGATTTCAAGATTGATACTGAGAATCCCCCATTTGTTCCATCCTTTCAATTGAAGATTCTTCGAGTGATAAATTGCACACTCAATGAACCAAGCCACATGATTCCCACATTCCTTTATAATCAACATGAGTTAAGAATGTTAGATATTGGCCCCAATAGCATGAAAGGAAGGTTTCCAAACTGGCTATTGGAAAATAACACCAAGTTGGATTTCCTTAATCTTAGCAATAACCACTTAATTGGTCCTATTGAGCTTAATGCCACCACAAAATTCTCAAATATGCATATCTTGGATGTCTCTTGTAACCCTATTGGAGAGATTCCACCAAACATTGGTTCACTATTTCCAAACTTGGTAACCTTGAATATGTCCTCTAGTTCATTGCATGGTAGTTTTCCAGCTTCATTGGGTGACATGAGACAATTGAATAATTTAGACTTGTCACACAACAATTTGTTTGGACACATACCACAGGAGTTTGGTAAAGGTAGCAATGACTTGAGGTTTTTGAGGTTGTCTAACAACAACCTGCATGGCCCCTTCTTGCCTTTTGGATCAAATTTCACCAAATTGTTATCACTACATCAAGCCAACAATAACTTCAAGGGAAGCATACCAGATGGAATCATGAACAACACTGAGTTAAGAATGTTGGATTTAAGCAACAACCAACTCCATGGAGAAATACCTAGTTGGATTGGAAGTTTTCAATATTTGACTTTCCTCATCTTGTCCCAAAATTTATTGGAGGGTCCAATTCCAATGGGATTTTGCAAGTTAACTAATCTAGCATATGTGGACATTTCTCAAAACAGTTTAAATGGAACATTGCCTAAGTGTGTCAACATGCCAGACTTGAGGTACTTGTATTTGCAGAACAACAAGTTCAGTGGACCCATACCTACCTTTCTGACCAATTCTTCTTTCTTGTTGACTATGAATTTGGTGGATAACAAATTTTCAGGCCAAATTCCTTGGTGGATAAGTTCATTGTTGAATCTAAGGATTCTTCTTTTAAAGAAAAACAAACTAGATGGTCTTATTCCAATTGATGTATGTCAACTAAAGAACATTAGTATTATGGATCTATCTCAAAATAACTTTTCTAGAAGCATACCACCTTGCTTGAATAATATATCATTCGGAAGACTTGATTCATTGGCTGCTAAGGTATTAGGAAAATTTGTTGTACCATGGGTTACAAGATCCACTGAATATGTCTTTTGGTCAGACACAAATACTCTTATTGAAGGTGAAAATATACAAGACTTTGCAGAATACGATGAACAAGACGTGGTCTTCATGTCAAAAAGTAGGTATGAAACATACAAAGGAAATATCTTGGATTTGATGTCTGGTTTGGATCTCTCAAGCAATAAGTTGACAGGCCAGATTCCTTCACAAATGGGATACTTGAATAGCATACACACACTAAACTTGTCCAACAATCATCTCACAGGACCAATGCCAGAAACATTTTCCAGCCTAAAGCAAATTGAGAGCTTGGATCTTTCATGCAATAGATTGAGTGGTCACATTCCCTCACAATTGACAGATTTGTACCACTTGTCTGTTTTCTCTGTGGCTCATAATGACTTCTCTGGAAGGACCCTAGAGAGGGTAAACCAATTTGCAACGTTTGAAGCAAGTAGTTATGAAGGTAACACTCTTCTTTGTGGACCTCCACTAAATCGAAGTTGCTCATCCGTTGTAAAACAACCAGCACCAGGGATTGGTACATCACCTCTTGGGAAAAATGAATTCAGAGACACCTTTGTTTATAGTTTTCCACCACCATTTTGTGTTGCATTTGTGAGTGTCATAGCTTTTCGCTACTTCAATTCATACTTTAAAGTGCCCTACAAAAATAAATTTTGTGTGTAGCATATGTAAGTGCAGTGGTAACTACTGTTGAAAGTTATATAGGGGATTATAAAAATAAAGTTATAAAAAAAAGTATGTTATGACATAGTTTGACTACTCTCTTAGATTATAAATTATCACTCAATTTCACTTACATGCTGACTAATATGATAACATATAAAAAAATATAAAATAATATATTTAGTATCCAAAATATGAAGAAAAGTCTCGAATCTAACCAAAATCATGGACTCAAACTTTGAAATGAATATATAAATGATATAAGTGATGAAACGCATGCAGATGTTGATAGCATAGTCAAATGTTACAAGGAATATGAACTATATGGTTATGTTTGTCGTACATATTATGATGAATTAAATATTTTATCATTTAGTTTAGATTTTTATGTATACATTAATTTTTTTTAATCAGAACTATGTACATTAAATGTTAATAATTTATTAATGTTGTTTACTTTTAATTTTTGATTTTGTAAAATTATAATATTACATTTATTTAATATTATTTTATATATTATTAATTATTATTAATATTTTATTAATATAAATTAGATTACAATTGAATCATTAAACTTTGAACTAATAATTAGATTGATTGAATGACATACTATTTTTTAAACATTTGGAATAAAGTATCATAAAACCTCAATTTCTTAATTATTAGGAAACTTTTAAAATACACTAAGAACTTAATCAATAGACAAAATTTGTCTCAATTTAAATATTTATGAGCTATCAAATCAACTCATTGTCGAGAATTAAATAGTATAACATAGGAAGATTTATTATCCATACTAAATAAAATTAAAAAAAACTTTCTTTTTGATGCAATCCAAAATTTCCTTTTCTTTTTTTGTCGAAACCTTTACCTTACATGAAAAAAGAAAAAAAGTAGAAGATATTCCTATTAGGAATAAGATTTTGTTTATTTTTTTGATTCTCTTTCACAAAAAAAAATGAATGAATGTCTTTTTTATTGGATTTGTATCCATCAGGATTGACGAGGCTCGAACCTGCACGGGTGAATCAACCATTGGTATTTGGCCAATTTAATGACTTATCCTACCCAAAAAAATTCCACACTGACACTATAATATTGTTATTTTTTTACTTATTTGGTTAATTATATGATTAATTGTATGATTGATTGTTATTAGTTGTTAGTGTGTCATTTAGAATTTTAGTGGACAAGGGACCTTGAGAGTTAAGTTGTTTCTAAAATAGTCTTACATTAAGTTATATTGGTTCAACTTAAGAAAAAATATATAAGGCTTTCTTAAGACGTGAATTTCATAAGTTAATATTTTAAGAAAATTTAAAGAGAAGTTAAAGCGTAGTTCTATGGAACCCAAATCTTTCTTCCTCCTCTTTTTCAATGAAAACCCTTCTTCACTGTTTCCTAAAGTTGAATCAAGGTGACGAACTTGAGGGTGCAAAAATTTTGGAGTTGAGAATTTGAGTTTGGTGGAAGTCATACGACAACCTTAGATACTTTGAGTTTCTTCCTCTTCCTTTGATTTTTGAGCTTCTAGAGGTAAGGGAAGTTATGTGTTTAATCATTGTTGGATTGTGTTGGTTGTTGCTATTGGAATTCATCTAATTATTGGTTGTTTTGACTAAATGAAAAGGATATGATGAGTTGATTGGGCTTTGGGTTCCTTGGACATATTTGAGTAGAATTTGATGATTCATGATTTAGAACGGATGCATGTTTCCTCTGATGATGGAAATAGGTTTATATGTTGTGTATTGAGTTGCATGTTGGTATTTTATGAGTTTTAGGTGGATTTGGGGCAAAATGAGTTTCTACCAAGTGTAGAACTCACAATCACGTCGGGCGTGGCTCAATTTAGGGGTTCTCAACTTTGATGATGTTGAGCGCAAGATTGGTGGTACTAGGTATGAGAAGAGAGAATTGCCTATGACTTGGTCACATCAGGCATGAGTTTAAATGGCATCGAAAGTTAGGAGAAAGAATTGAGGTTAGTGGAAAAACACATAGAAGGGGGGTTGAATATGTGTGTGTATGAACAAAGGAATTTTAAAAACGTTTTCGCAAGGGATTTCTTCTTCGTCTAATGAAATATAATTTTGAATGCTAAACTAGAACTGTGCAGGGTCAGTTTCAACAAAAGACTTTTGCGTCCTGGAGTTTATCGTCTGCACAGAAAAAATGTTTCTTAAACGAAAACCGTTCTAAGATAATAAATTAAACATGTGTGGTTTTCCTCTGAAGATAGTTTCATTAAGAAATAAGCAGTAGATGAAGCTTTTAGTATAATAAATTAGCTAAACAAAATTTGTGTCTATTAAGTAGATGGGAAATGCAAGGTGTTTTATACTGGTTCGCACAGACTGAGCTATGTCTAGTATCCTTCAATAGAAGGGTTCCACTAGATATTCAATGAAGTACATATAGTATTATCGACCACTTCTGGCCCGCCAACTTCACTCATCAGCGCTAGTATTCTTTAATCAACCTCTTCAGGCTTGTAGTGAGTATTCTAGAGCACCCAGGTCACGACCACTCCTGGTCGGCCAACTTCACTCATTAGCTCTAGTATTCTTTAATCAGCCTTTTCAGGCTAGCAGTGGGTATTCTAGACCACCCAGGTCACAACCACTCCTGGTCTTGAGTATTCTCAACCACTCTTGGTTCGTCAACTTCACTCGTCGACGCTAGTATTCTTTGTTCAGCCACTTCTGGCTCTTATTAAGTATTGTCGACCAACTCCTAGCCCGCTAACTTCACCATTAGCGCTAGTATTCTTTGTTCAACCATTTCTGACTCTTAGTGAGTATTGTCGACCAACTCCTGGCCCGCTAACTTCACCATTAGCGCAAGTATTCTTTAATCAGCCACTTCTAGCTTGTAGTGAGTATTCTTTGATAAGCCTCTCCAGGCTTTACAAGTATTCTTTCTTTTCAGGCTTTACAAATGATGAATATATGGTTTGGTTTGAGTGTTTGGTTTACTTTCACAGAGAGGATGCATATGTTTGTACACTCACTAAGGTATGCAACCTTAGTTTTACAAGGATTGAGTGTGTGGTTTACTCTCACATAGAGGATACAAATATATTTCTACACTCACTAAGGTTCATGTTCCTAAGTTATACTTAGAACCCCTTAGTCTACAGAGATAAATACATTATGGTACATTCGACTCTTAAAGCTCTTTCTCTGGTTTCATTGCTTCATGGGCTTGATATCACTCTTTGCTTATCTTCGCAAAAGCCAACCTTTCAATGTTTGAAGTAGTGACATATAGTCTTGTAAAATTTGTCTGTTACAAATGTCCATTGAAGCAGAATATAGTCGTTCATGACTAGTTCGATATTCTCATTTAATGCTTAAGATTTTGCATTACATGTTACTTCCTGTTTGTAGACATTGTGTGAAGTCTTCTACGTTTGTTAGCTACTGTGTCTGACTTTAGCTAAGACCTAGGACCCTTTTTGTCCTTTTTCTGGTCGCATAGCTATAGAGCATTGTCCTTATCTGAAAAAGTAATGTACTTTTTCTGACACATGCATGATTTTTCGTGATTTTCTTCTTCTTCTTCTCTTCCTTTAATCACGTGATCATGTTGAGAGCTTTTATATGATAGTAGACAATGCCTGATTTGTCCTTTGAGACTTGATTCTTTAAATGCTTGTGTGGCAGTCTTTGTTTGTGTCTGTTAGTCCATGTGCATCTCAAGTCTTGATTATCGTCTGAGCATTTGACATTAATGCTTTGAATCTCTTTTGGTCTGGTCAACATTATAGATGGATAGACTTTGTTTTCGTCTGGAATATCTTTCAGTCTGTGTTGTCTTTTGTTTGATGTGTAGTTGACTTTCTTCTGATCTTTGACCAACTTTCATCTAAGTTCTCTTGTTGCGCTCTAGGTTGTCCTTGACACACCTTCGTCTGATATTTGATTCATCGTCTGGCGCACATGTTGTATTCCGTCTATCATTTGTTAACACTCAATTTCCTCAGTCATTTGTCTCGTCTATTATTTGGCTTTTGCTTCGTTTGATCCTTGAAGCTTTGCTTTGCCTTGACTTATCTTCATCTAATACTTGACATGCTCTATTCTTCAACTTGCATGTACTTATATTTTTCTAAAACACTAACACACTTGTTAGCAGTAACATGTATTATGTTTGTCTCATTCAAAAACTTACTGGGAATTGCTTCGTTTGACTTAACAAGAATCGTCTTTGCTTAAGTTAGCACTAAATGTCAATGAAGTGACGTCGGACGTGACTCAAACAAAGACTCTTTGCTTGATTAAGGCTAGATGTGGAGTTTTATCACGCCAGACATGAGAGGTTTAAAGGTTCTTTGCCTCATCCATATTGGACACGAGTGGATTGGCATTGGTCATGGATGAGACATGAAACCCCTATCTCAATAGCGTTGGACGCACTGGGATGGTGTCGGGCATGAGTTGCTTGATAAAACGTGATGTTTTAAGTTGATTAATGGTTGAAGAATGATGAATAAATTATATGATGAATGTAGAATGATGATAACTCATTATCCATGAAGTTGATATATTGCATAATGATGTTTATATTGTTAAGATGTAAGTTGATGGATGATTAAGTTATAAATTTGTATGATGTTATAGTTGAATAAGTTGTTAAGTCGTTAGGCATGTGGTGAAGAAACATGTTTTAGTTGAGATACATAAAGACTAGAGGAGAGTTATGTTGTTTTAAGTTGTTCCCTCTAGAATTTATGTGGAACAATATAAGGTATAAAGTCGAGGGATTAGTCTCTAACTGAGTATTGAAAAGGCATAATATTTAGAGAATAGTCAATGAACTAATTTCATAGGAGGCTTATTGATGCAAGTTAATGTCATGGTAAGCTCATACTCAAATTGTTCTACCCTGAAAGGAATACTAGACTTCTTAATTTAAATGGTGAAACCTAAGAAATCAATTTTAAGTTATATACTGGCACTTTAAGAGGCCTAACCTTGTTTATACTTAACCTAGTT